AGATTGGTACTGGGCTTGATGACCAGTCTATAGTCCTTTATAAAGCTCAGAAGAAAAATTATATCCTGATGATAAACCATCACTAGTTGTCATCTGTAGAAAATTTGATTAGGAACTTATAAATATAAGGGTCAGTTAACATGTATTCCCATTTTTATTTCATTGAGGGGTTATTTCCTGTGCAAGAATAATTTAGACTTGCTTTTTCTACTCATGGGCTTGTATATTTAAAAACAAATCCAGCTGGGCATGGTGGTGCACACCAGTAATCTCAGCTACTCCAGAGGTTGAGACAGGAGGATTGCAAGTTCAAGGCCAGCTTTGGTAATGTAGTGAGACCCTGTCTCAAAATAAAATAAAAAATAAAATGGGTTGAGGATGTAGCTCTGTGATAGAATGCCCCTGGGTTTGATTCGCAGTACTGATTGATAGTTCACCCACTTGCTTGCTCAGTGGTAGAGTGATCCTGGGTTCAGTCTCCAGAATGGATGGATGGATAGATGGATAAACAGATTTAAAAAAAAAAATCCAACCTCACAGCATTTTGTGGGTTTTTTTATGTGGTGTTACTGAAGATTGAACCCAGTGCCTCACACTTGCTAGACAAGCACTCTACCACTGAGCCACAACCCCATTCCCATGCACTGTGTATTACTTAAGAAGAGTTTGCACATCTAATGTTCTTTAATTCCCTACCTGTCATATTCACAGCAACTCTCTTAAGGGAGATGCTCTTGTCTTTGTTTTTTACACTGGAAGACTGGAATGTAACAAGGTCTTAAGGCTGTGTAGTGGCAGATTGTGCTGTGATACAGCCCTGTTGCCTTTCTGCTGTACCAGCATACATAGGCAGGCTGTGTTCTTTGCTATCCCAGTAATGAGTGTTGAAAAACTTACCAGATACATATTTGAGTATGAGTCTTGTACTGAGCACAGTTTTTGACACTAAGTGTGAAATAAATATGCAGTTTTCCTTGGAGGAAACACATGTGAAACTGTAAATGGTTTGGTTTTCAACATCTGTACCATAGACTATCATAAAGAAACTCTCCATATGTATTTGAGGTATAGGCATGGTAGACCAATGTGTGCTTTCTGGCCCTGGATGGTTGGCCAGGGTTTGCATAGGCAGGAATTAAAGAGTATAGAAGAGCATTCTACATGAAGAGAACAACAAAAGCAGTTTTTAGTATGTTTGAGCATGGCATTTTATAGGTCATGTGGTGATGTCCAGCCTGAGAGAAGGGTACGTGGAGAACAGTGGGTGAGAAAGCCTGGTTGATCAGGAGGAGCCAAGTTATGAGGACCCTGAAAGCCAGGTGGAATGTGGACTTGGTGGAGTGACCAAAAGTGCTGAAAGTTATTGAGTGAAAGTACAGGCAGAGCTAAAGAAGTAGTTTAGGAAGAGTGATTTTGAAGTAGGGCCAGAAACACAGAGTGAGGTGCAAATACAAGTTTTCAATATACTTGAGGAATAGAAGCTTTGAATTTCTTGAGAAAAGAGAAGGCTACCAGATTTGTAATTTTATTCTTTTTAGGATTTATCCATTCATTGGATAGCTATTTGTTCTTACTGATTATGTGCAGGATGTTGTGGAAGATATTCCCAAAAGGAGCTTGTATAGGAAGGGACTTGAGGTATATACAAATAATTTTAATACTGAAGAAATGTGATAAGACATGACAGGTATAGATTAAGTGCTTTCTGAGAGTCATTTTATCTTAGAGCAGTATCATTCAGTAGAAACAGAATGTGAGCTATATGTAATCTGAATTTTTCTTTAAAGAGGACTGAGGGTATAGCTCAGTAGTAGAGCCCTTGCCTAACCTGTGCAAGGCTCTGGGTTTAGTACCTAGTATTACAAAAACAAAAACCCAAGTGAAATTAATAATTTTATTAATTTCTGTACAATAACCAAAATATTATGATTTCAGTGGGTGGCACTAGTCACATTTCAATTGAATAGCCACATGTGGTTCTTGTATTACACAGCTTGGGCTTAAGAAAGGTTTCTTGGAGGAGGTGGCCTTTGAGCCATGCTCTGAAGAACTTTATATTCCAAGTGAGTGGGGAAGGCCATTCCAGATAGAGGGATTGACTTTAGTGAGTCAAGACAGAAAATCACACTTTGTATGTAAGTGTGAAACACATATTGTGTGGCAGGCATTTTATGGGAAAAATCTGAGAAGATAGGTTGGCAAGCATTCACTGATAGGGTGGGCATTGAGATCTGATTCTGCTCTCCAGCAGAAAATAATAATTTTGAGCAGAAAGTGACTTGATCTGGGCTTTTAAGAAGATGGGGCTGGTAGGGAAGTTACTCAGTGGTAGAACATTTGTGTAGCATGTGAGGCCCTGGGTTCAATCCCTAGTACCACAAAAAAGATGGTCTCGTAGCAAAGATGTGAAGGGGGCTGGAGGTAGAGACTGAAACCAGTGGGTATAGGGAAAGATGATGGATGGGAGATTTATTGTAGATGTAGCAAGAGGAATGGTTTCATTTCTCCCTTGTCTACTGCCTTGCTCCAAACTGCTGGGTGTTGTGTAACCCATTTCCTGTTGAAATTGGTCTAGCTGCTTCAAAAATCCATGTTATATAAGTCAAAAGTTATGTAAGCAGTAGGCATCAGGACATTTGGCTATGGATTTTGTTTGTTTTAAATTGTTTCTGTGTATATGTAGAATTAAAATTTTTTGAAATGGGTAGATACATGAATAGTTTTTTTTTTGTTGTTGTTTTTTAATATGCATGATGATTTTCAATCTCCAGGAACTCTTATGATGATCCCAGAGAAGCTTGAAATAGTTGGCCTCAAATCAGAAAGGCCATGTTTTATTTTAGGAAATAGGGTGAGGACATTTGGGAGGTCTCAAAGAGTACTCAGAATTCTTCAAAGTGTGAGTTAAATTTTAAATGCTTGAAGGAGGAGAGAAAAGGGGGTTGAAGGGGGTACTTAATTTGGGCTTAGTTAGGTCGAAGAGCTTTGTGGCATCCTTCAGCAAGGTCCGTCCCTCATATTTCTATTATTATACTGTATGGGATAGCTTAGCTTTGAGTTGGCTTTTGCCCAGAAATTTATTATTTGGAATCTTTCATAGGTAGAATTGCATCAGTGCTGTTGTATGAACTTTGAGATGAACCTCTAGTGACTTATAACTGCAGACTGTAAATTGAGTCATTGAAAGTTGGTTTCCTCCTGCTGTGCTTGGTACTTTCAGGAATAACAATTGTACAATTATTTAATAATATATAGGAATTATCCTGATCCCAAAAACTTTATGGTCAAGAAAATTAGGTATACTGAAAGCATGTAATTTTGGGATGATAGGATATTTCTTTCTTGTATTAAAGTAGACTAGGTTATCTCTTAGTAACACTCTCTACTGGATAGCTACCCAGGGACTTGGGCTGACAGACCGTTCTTTTATGAGTGCATCATCTAGAACACATTTTAGGTGGATGCTGTAAGAGAAGAAAGCTTGGGGAACTACATGCAGGATTTTCACAGTTTGAGCCTGGAAGCAGCATCATTTCTGCCTGTGTTGATTGGACAGAGCTGCTGACTCCTAACTGCTGGGGATGTGCTGGGATGTGTAGGGAAGCAGCAAATGGAGTCTTTCCTGAGGATTACTATCTGCTGTAGTTACATTCTAGTGTTGTGAGTGAAGATGTCATAGATCTAGGCAAGACTTACTTCACTAAATGTAACCTTACAATTAGCAAGTTGTATATAGGAGGTAACTCTGAATATGATTTAGATAATAAGCAGTAGGAAGAAAATTCATAGTTCTGAACTGGAGAATCAACTCTTTCTAAATTGCCTGGATTTCTTTGTGCTTCATTTGATAATGCATTTTTGTGTGCTTGGGCCCAAGGTTTAATTTATTAAACCTCTTTAAAATTAAAAAATGAGCTGGAGCCGGGCATGGTGGTATGTGCCTGTATTCTAAAAAGCTCAGGAGGCTGAGACAAGAGAATCACAAGTTCAAAGCCAGCCTCAGAAACTTAGTGAGGCCCCAAGCAACTTAGTGAGACCCTTCTGATTCCAGAGATTCAAGGTTGAGGCAGGAGGACCACAGGTTTGAGGTCAGCCTGAGCAGTTTAATAACCTGTCCCAAAATAAAAAGTAAGAGGGGCTGAAGATGTAGCTCAGTGGTAAAGCACCCCTGGATTCAGTCCTTAGTACCACAAAAATCAATAAATGAATAAGCATATTTTTACTCTGTGGCATAGAGGATATATGTAAATTTAAGCTAACAGTATGAAAACTAATTTTTAATAGTAAATCATTTTTAGTTGCTTTTTTCAAAAAAATTATTGCACTTTCTAAGATTATTGTAGTGGAGAACTAACTTAAGGTGAGGTGATTAAGAGGCGTTCACTGATTGGTCTGTATAAAGGGTTTGATAAAATAATAAACTGAAAACACTGAGATTTTTTGTTTTGAGAAAATCTAAATGAACTTCTGTGGTTCAAATAAATTAAGTTCTGTTTCTATACATCCTGTATACTTTTTATTTTTTGCAACCTATACCTAAACGAAATTAGTACCTGATATTTGTATATAATGCTTTAAACTTTTCATAGTACTTCATGTATATTAGGTCACTTGTCCTTGTAAGAGCCTCTTTGAGAGAGTTGGTAGTGTTCTTGCTTTCCAATAAGGAAACTAGAGCTCTCAGGTTAAGTGATCTAACCAAGATCATTGCCCTCTGAGTAGGAGAGCTAGTGATCGGTAGAGCCCAAGTCCATCCACCTTGATTCATGATTCTTCTCTTTGGTGTGTGTTGGAAAATTAATTGACCCAAATAAAGGCCTTAGCAAAGCACCTGACAGTATAGATGCTTAGTGCATGATCTGTAATGTCGATGGCATTTGGAGCTAGATGTTTCACTTTTGGGTAGGCTTTCCAGAGGGGTTGTAAGAAGATTCACACATGTATTTCCTGGGACCTGAAGCCTGACATCTGCTTTTCTTTTTCTCTTGCTCTTGTTCTAGGGAATGACCATGGACAAAAGTGAGCTGGTACAGAAAGCCAAACTTGCTGAGCAGGCTGAGCGCTATGATGACATGGCTGCAGCCATGAAGGCAGTCACTGAACAGGGGCACGAACTCTCCAATGAAGAGAGAAATCTGCTCTCTGTCGCCTACAAGAATGTGGTAGGTGCTCGCCGTTCTTCCTGGCGCGTCATCTCCAGCATTGAACAGAAAACAGAGAGGAATGAGAAGAAGCAGCAGATGGGCAAAGAGTACCGTGAGAAGATAGAGGCAGAGCTGCAGGATATCTGCAATGATGTTCTGGTAAGGGCCAGTGCTTCTCTTTAAAGAGTTACTTCTAAATAGTATTAACACTGTCCAAATGCAAACTCTCAAACAGCTTATGAGAAAGAGTGTCTGAGTATACTGGAAAGCTGAAAAACCATTTACAACCCACATGATATGATTCCCCTCCCTCCCCACATTTTTGCTTGATCAGAGATTGTTCATCACTTCTGGGCTATTTTCTTCCCCTATCAGAAAGGCTTGTGAAAAACAGGAGGATTTAGTCAACATCTTTTCTTTAGAAATTGAGGCCAGATAGACAGGATTTTAGATGCAGCCACAGATAGGTTATTCTCTATAGTCATCTGAGTAGTGATGTCATCTCCTGTAGGGGAGGCAGGATTAAAAAGCTGAGCTGCCTTTCATCCTCCCCCCAGCCATGCCTTCACAGTGGAGAGTCCTGATTTTGTCTGAAAATTAGGCACATTCCTCAAGCTCAGTATGCGTTCCAAAGCCAAATCGAAGGTGGTTTGGGGATTCTCCTCTCCGGTGTTTTATATAAGCTAGAGAGAGATTGTTGACTCTCTGACCACAGTTTGGGGTTGTGGATGGGAGGGGTGCATATCCTAGAGCAAATCATGATCATATTGTCTTTCCCTCACATCCTGAGCCCACTGGGAACTTTTTTTTTCTTCCAGGTGAAATCAGGTAAAAATGAACGGTGAGGGATGCTTTGAAGGGAAAAGGAATTCACACTTGTTGACCTACCTCCTCCCCTGCTGGCTGCCTCTCCGAATTACTGCCCATGACACCTTTCTTTTGAAAAACCAGTCAAAGCTTGTCAGTCATCAGGCAGTACTTCTCATCCCTAACCCATAAGGAGTTGCACTCTGTCTGCAAAGAATATTAAAATGACTACTGCCCCTTGCGTCTCCTTAAATCCCCTTATAATTAAGCTTTGCATTGAGCTTCTCTTTTTATTAGATTCATGGTGTAAGATAAACAGTATCATGGCTAAACTTGTTGCCTGTTGGTCATTTGGGGGTTTGTTAATGGTGCACTAATTCCTGAATGTTAGGTACATCTGGTATTCAGATGAAGTATGGCATGCATTCCAAGGGCAAGAAAGTTCCATAATTCCTGAAATGTAGACCAGCTTTTAAGAGCATCTGAAAGAATGTGAAGAAGAGCATGGTACTTACTGCCTCTTAACCAGTTTTTCAGGATGCCACATTCTAAAACAACTCTTCGAAAATATTGCTCTGTATACGAAGCTTGGACTCCTTCAGAACTACTTTTGTTGTAAGCATAAATGTTTAAAGGAATTTATTATTAATAATAGTATTAGACTCTTTTGAGTGCTTACTGCGTGCCAGCCATCGTGTTAAGCACTTTATGTACATTAGCTCACTTGTCCTCAAGTTTACCCTAGAAGGTGGCCATTGTGATCCCCCATTGTACAGCCAAGCAAACTGAGGCTTGGGTGAGAAGGCAGTCGGTCCAGGGTGATAGAGACAGCAGGCAGAAGAGGGGTTTCTTCCCAGGTCAGATTGATTCTGAACTTAGTTCTCGGCAGTTTTGTTCTATTATCACTTTTTTTCTCCCAGAATGGAAAAATATTTTTCCCCCTCTAATTCCAGAAATAAGACAGGTTTATTTATTTTTTAAAGTTAGGACAAAGTAATATAAAATAAAATCACTCTGATCTTATCACCTAGAGGACCATTGTCAACATAATCCTTCCAGGTTTTTCCCCTATGTATTTGTGTGCCTATACACATAGATATTTTAATATCAAATATGGCTTTTGTGTTTTTATTCTGCTTTTTCAGATTTCTTTTGAGAGCATTTCCATGTTATCAGTGTAGTTCTACATCATTTTTGCATAGCATTGCATTGTAATAGCTGTGTTTTAATGAACCCCTTATGGATGGTCAAAGTGACTTTTAACTGAAGAATACGGGCATCTGCTGTTATGACCTAAACAACGTTTAGTCTTGGATTAAAAAAAAAAAGTTATTTTTAATTTTCAAAAAAGTTGGTAGTGGTAGTTTGTATCTTGAATCTCAAATATAATTTTAGTATCTTGTAAATAATTCAAAGTTCTTAATAATGTGAATCATTTTTTAGGAGCTGTTGGACAAATATCTAATTCCCAATGCTACCCAACCAGAAAGTAAGGTGTTCTACTTGAAAATGAAAGGAGATTATTTTAGGTATCTTTCTGAGGTGGCATCTGGAGATAATAAACAAAGTAAGTAACGTTTAAACAAATTTGACCAATAGTGGACTTCAACAACTTTTGCTTTTGTCTGTGCACCATAGACATTAGATGATGTCACAGTAATCAAAATGTAAAAGACCATTGTGCTGTGAGGAATGAGGTCATGGGGGTTGACAAATCAGAATGTGTCTAAGGAGTAAATGTGGAGGGCGTTAAAAAGTCTGATGTGTAGTGAGTGCATTTGAAGAGCTCTTTTCTTGGAAATTATTTGATAGCTGTCTTTTTAGAAACAGAACGTTAAAGTATAGTAGTCTACTTTTATGTACAGTTTTGTTTTCTCCAGTTTCAGTTTCTTAAGGCCAACTAAGGCCTGAAAACATTAAATGGAAAATTCCAGAAATAAACAATTCATAAGTTTTAGATTTCACCCTGTTCTGAGTATTGGGATGAAGTGTTATACCATCCTTCTCAGGATGTGAATCATCCCTTTGGCATATGCACCTTGTATCTATGTTCCCTGCCTATTGGTCTTTTAATTGTCATCTTATCAGATTTGACTGTCATAGTATGGCCATGTTTGTGTTAAGATAACCCTTGTTGTACTTAATGACAAAGCCCAAACTCCTATTACAGTATATTATTGTTCTATTTTATGATTGTTGTTAATCTCCTACTGTACCTAATTTATAAATTAAACTTTATAGATGTACATACAAGGAAAACAGTTAAATGAGGTTCAGTACTATACATTCACTGGGGATCTTGGAACATACACTCTGCAGATAAGGGAGACATATAGTGATGCATTTCTTTTGTCACAAAGATATTGTAGTAGTGGTGCTGTGATAGTGTTAACAGCTGTGTGTCCCTGCTGTGTGCCAAGTACTTTAAAGTCTTGTTTATTCTCTCACAACTTTGAGTTTAGATGGGAGTCTATTCATTTTTTGTTTTTATTGTGCTGGAGATTGAACCCAGGCCTTGTGCATGTGAGGCATGCACTCTACCCACTGAGTTATATCCCCAGCCCCATTTTTCTAATAAAGAAAACCAGGGATAGAGAGTTATTCTCAGCTGTGTACCTAGTGAATTAAAAGTTGGGAATTCAGTTTGGGTCTGTCAACTCCGAAACCCCTTATTTTTCTATGTTCCATCTTGTTAAAGATTATGTTTCTTGATTGGTTTAATAGACTTTGTTATATTCGTCATTGCTTCCCCTGGAGCACTTAATATAGTACTTGACTTAGAATAAACATTTAGCAAATGTTTGATTGAATGGTAGAGACACTGACATCTCATTTTGATGGATCATTTACATCAGCCCACTTTGTCAAAATACTGTGATTGTGAATCCAGTTTATGATGCACCATGTGGGAGAAGCAGCCTTTAATACTTTTCCTCTTTCTTACAGCCACCGTGTCGAACTCCCAGCAGGCTTACCAGGAAGCATTTGAAATTAGTAAGAAAGAAATGCAGCCTACACACCCAATTCGACTTGGCCTGGCTCTAAATTTCTCAGTCTTTTACTATGAGATTCTAAACTCTCCTGAAAAGGCCTGCAGCCTGGCAAAAACGGTGAGAAGGATCCTCCGGTTTCTAATCCTAATAGACTTTTGAGCTTCCTAGTAACTTTTATTGTGGGACATCCTCATGGTCTTGGACTTTTTAGAAGATTTTTTTTTTTTTAGGGTAGGATTACGTCTTTTATGAAAGAAATACAGGCCTATTACTTTGTGATTCCTTCTCAACACTCCTGCTGATTTTTTTTTAATTATTATTACTACTACTACTACTACTACTATTTTTGAGGGGTGGTTGCAGAACATTCCAGGTAAAGGTGGTTTATTGTTTTTCATCAAAATTTAGGCCTTGGTTTTACATCATCCTCCTCCTTCCAATATAGTAGGTTATGGCTGTGTAAATGAAAGAAATCAGACCACATTCCCTCTCTTCTTACCTTCCTTTCCTTCCTTCCTGTACTGGGAATGGAACCTTCAGTCCTTGTGCATATTAGGCAAGTGCTCTACCACTGAGCCACATCCCCAATACCCACCCTCTTTTAATTTTATTTTTGAGACACAATCTCACTAAGTTGCCCAGGTTGTCCTCAAACTTGTGATCCTCTGCTTCAGCCTTCTGAGTAGCTGGGATTACAGGTGTGCACCCCCCACTCCCAGCTGGACCACATTTTCTTTGTGTGCTATATTTCCTCCTGTCTTTTTTTGGCCTTTTCTTTATATGTATTTGTAAACATGCGCACAGTTTTTTGTTGTTGTTTGTTTCTTTTCTTTCTTTCTTTTTTTTTTTTTTTAAGTTTGGAAAAGGTCCTGAAATGAACCCCTTAAATTGCTGCTCTTAACCTATTGAGTCTCATTGTCCCAGATGTGGGACGTCTATAAAAACTTAAATGGAGAAACAGTTATACCGCTTATGATAACTGGAAACAAATATTGTGTTTTTAAAGTTCTGTTCTTTGAGAAAATAACTGAATGATTACAACATTTAGCAAATGTTTGATTGAATGGTAGACACTGATATATGTATTTTCATAAAGATATATAAGTGCTAGGTTATCATTTCCAGCCTATTTTAATATACCTGTGTCAATTTTGTTGAACTATTTGCAGAATTGAAAATTTGGGACTTAGCAGGTTAATTAAATCAGGTTTAGTGAAGTGAGTTTCACTCTTGTACCTTTTTTTTTTGTATCTAAGTTTAAAAAAAAATTAAGAGATTTTCTAGAAGAGTTTTTGGTAAATAAAAATTTGTGTGAATTTACCTAGAACACATGTGCTAGGCTTAACAATAATACTAGTTACTTATTAGATAAAGCTGTTTATTAGAAAATCATAATTTATATTGTCTAGGAAATTTTATCATTGCTGATTGGTGCTTTATAATCACATTATGAAGTTTTATAAACACAAGGCTCCCCCAAAGTACTGTAGAAGAAGAAAAATTAGTCACTTATTAAAAGGGGAAAAAAAACTCAACTAACAATTCTAAGAACATGTAGATTCTTTGCTGAAGGCTCTGTGTTTTAGGCATTTGATGAAGCGATTGCTGAGTTGGATACACTGAATGAAGAGTCTTACAAAGACAGCACTCTGATCATGCAGTTACTTAGGGACAATCTCACTGTAAGTACTACTTTTGGATGGTTTATGGCCTTTCCTATTCACCTGCTAAATAATTCACTATTATCCAAGATTCAAGAGAGGATTTATACTCCATTAAATATAATTCAGTTAGTTATAGATGACTGCTAAAATTGTGATGTGTATAGTCATTAGTGTCTGCATTAATACAGAAGGAATTTTAAACAGTTGATTGAAATAAGATATAGATTGAACCACTCCCACATAAATTTGAGTAGCCCTACTTTGATAATACCTTTTTTTTTTTTCTCTTGCAGCTGTGGACATCCGAAAACCAGGGAGATGAAGGAGATGCTGGGGAGGGAGAGAACTAATGTCTATCATGCTTTGTGATCTGTTCAGTGTCACTCTGTACCCTCCACATTTATCCCTTTGTGCGATAAAACAAACAAACAAACAAAAATTTGTACGTTGACTTCGATTTTTCACAGCCTCAGCCTAGCAAAAATGGTCCATGGTATAAACAGCTGGTATTTGTATCTAAAACTCGGATTGGTCACATAAATGCCACGGCATTCTGAAGTTTTGATTTCATTAATATTGACAGAATTACTGTGTGCTTAATTTTTTAAAACTGAACACTGTGATTATGGGGTTTTGTAACTTAGCAGAACTCTTACTGGTAGAAAAAATAGACCTGAATTATGTGTAACTTTTTGGAAAGTTTAATCTGATATCAAAATAGTCACTGAAATACAATTCTGTTGTAAAGTTGTACAGAAAGTTATAGAGACTATATTGTGGTGCTGGGACTGGAGTGAGACACATCATTTGGCATCCAAGTTTAATGGTAATTCACAGTAATTCTGCCTGTGGTTCAGGGCTTGTAGACACTTGACCAGTTTGGGCTGTTGCCACTCAAAAGTTCATGACCACAAAAGTCTATAGTGTCTTCCTCTGAGGAAACTCAGATCCTGAAATTGAGATTCTTTGTGGCAGATAGCTGGGTTATGACACTGCAAAAAGGTTCAGTGCTCATTATAACAAGAGTGACTAAGCCCCCTTTCCTACAGCAATATGTTACTGATTTGCAACTTTTCAAAACAATCAGATCTGTTTTCCTTGTTACTACTTAGCTAAAGAAAAACAAGCTATATATCTTATGAACCACCTTATCTGTTTCCTGGGTAAGTCATTTAAGAACAATGTTCTGTAGAGATTGTCTCTCACTGGAGGAGTACTCAAGATATTCCTAACTTGGGGCATTAAATTTTAAAAACTAAACACTCCTTCCCCCATGTTCTTTTGAACTATTGACTTTGTTTTTCTCTTCCCTCTTAAAAATATATGTCCTTCTGCTTCCTTACATTTTCTTCCTTTGGAAATCTGTATCTTTTGTTTACTTTTTATGTCGTGTGGGCAGAGGGTGCAAGACAGTGGTGAGCATTTTGGTGAGTAAGGCTTGCTTCAGAGTTGAGAAGAGCTTCTCACACCACATCCCAGTCTTCCTCCAGTTCTCAGCACAATTGTTGCTCTTCAGTCATACCACAATCTGAATCAAAAAGTATTTTTAAATCTCCATGAGTTCTCCCTTTATTGCAACCAACCCTGATAATGCTTGTTAGTGCCTATCACCAGATCTCCAAAGTGTACTCATCCAGCTCAGTTCTCAGACATGTCTACACAAGACCCTATAATGCAGGGAAGTTGCATGGGCACTGCAAAGGAGAGAATCAAGAATAGCCAGGCCTGTCAGTCTCACAGTATCACCCCTTACCCTTAACATTCCATAAAGCTATAGAGTTCATTTGTTTGTCCATCTGCTGAAATGAGAAAAGAAAAATTCATGCACTGATTTAAAACAAACCAAAAAAAAAAAAAAAGCTAAAAAAAAAATCCTTTTCTTTCTAGCTGAACAAAAATGTGCAGTTAATACTTGGCGCTTGAAAATGCAGTAGTGAATGTGGAACCAAGCTGTCTGTATATCTGGTAGCTCTCTGCTTTGTTTTCCTTACCAGTATTCTGCCTARTGTTTGCTTCTGTGATGGTTATATTGCCTAGCAAGCACACCTGTGGTTGTGAAAATAGTATAGCAAAAAACAAAAATCCCCGGTTATTGATGTACTAGATTTGTGTATGTCTTTTAAACAGTTCTAGTTTCACCTTACACGGAATAATCAGGAAAAAGTGTAAAAACTCAAAAGTGAAATAAAAAATTTTATCAGTTAGTTGCTTGTGAATTGATGTGCCACCACTATCTCTATTGATACAGAACTAGCTAGGTACTCTGATCACCTATTTTTACTTATGTTTTCTTGAAAAATGGATAAAACAGGTGGGTGATGGGTACACTCCTGTAATCCCAGCTACTTGGGAGGCTGTTGCAGGACGATCACAAGTTCAAATCCAAATGGGCAACCTAGCCCTACCTGTTTCAAAAAATAAAGTTGAGGATGTTGCTTAGGGGTACAGCACTTGCCTAGTATGTGCAAGGCTTGGGTTTAATCCCCAGTACCATAACAAAAGAAAAATAGGAAAATAGCTTTATTTCATCCTTCAGAACCGAAATCAAAGGTGTGATAAGAAAATTACCATTAATTAAACACTCTCTACTTGAGACCTCTCCAACATCTACAGTAAACCAGATGTTGAAGTCCTTTTTGTGGCTTGTAAGATTTGGTATGTACAATTATTTTGCAGCACTTCCCAAACCCTGACTTTTTTTAAAACCTTAACATACAACCTAGTCAATGAGATGAAACCAACTTTAGAGTTGCTTGAGTCTTGGTACTGCTGTTCATGATAACTGGCAGCACTTTCTTCATAGGGTTTACACCCCTTCTAAAAACATCCACACTCCTGTAGGAGAGAAGTCTCCACAGAGGGATATTTTTTAAGATGAGAACTGGTACCTGTAGTGTGAGGCTAGACAGGCAGACCAGCTCCGGCCCCTGTTCAGGAACTGTCACACCTGTGGAAGCCAAGCCCAATCCAAGGTCAGGGGAAGCTGAGATCCTGGAAGAACCACTGTAAAGTATCGGTCTACAGTGGACAGGAATTTAAACAAAATGGTCCTACATCTGTTTGCAGATTGGGGCTGCAAACAGCCTCATTGCTTATTGTGGGGCCACTTCCTTGGCCCTTTTCTGCTCTTGGGTCCCTATTGTTCCCACGCAAGTAAACCCCTGATGGGATGCAGGTGGAAGCCCTCCTCCACAGGTGGCAGGTGATGTCTCACCAAGAGGTCTCAGCGGTGGAACAGCCAGTTGCAAGGGAGGCCTGAAGGACAGGGATCCCCAGTTCTAAAGCAGCCTTTAGCCCCCAGTCACTGAGGTTTACCATTCCGGCACATTAGGGTGGGACTGGGTCGAGCTGGTTCAGAAAAACATTTCCGTAGGCAGGATAACAATCTGTACCCAAGTTGAAACAGCGTGTCTGGCTCAGAATTTTCCCCTCTGCAAGTGCAAAGCGCAAAAAGCAGTTTCTAATCCTTGACAAGAGGGAGACCCCGTTCATTTTACAGAGAAGGAAAATGGGTCCAGAAAGGCGCAGCGTGACTGGATTAGAACTCCGTCCGTAGCCTGCCCTTCCTGAGCTGCCCACCGGCGCCCGCAGCACCCTAGGTCGCCCGAGGCCCTCCTCCGCAGCGGGGTCTGAGATGTCTCGCACCTGCGACTTGAGATGGCTGAGGGCCCCCAGGTGGGGTGGGGCTGGGCCCCGGCGATTGGCTCGCTGGCCCGGGGGTGGAGGCGGTAAAGGGAAGGGGCGGCCCGGCGCGCAGGAGGGATAGTCCTGGGCCGCCGCAGGCTAGGTTCCTGCCTGCTCGGCGCGGGCCTCGCGGTGACCCGCTTCTCGTCTCCCCCGCACCCGGCTCGGTCCACCATGAACGCCGGCGGCCAGGGCTACCCGCTGGCCTCGCTCTACGTGGGCGACCTGCACCCAGACGTGAACGAGGCCATGCTCTATGAGACGTTCTCGCCCGCCGGCCCCATCCTGTCCATCCGCGTGTGCCGCGACGTGGCCACCAGGCGCTCGCTGGGCTACGCCTACATCAACTTCCAGCAGCCGGCCGATGGTGAGCCCCCGGGAGGGCGGACGAGAGGGGACGAGCCCCAGTCTAGAGAGACCCCCCCCAGGACTGGACGCTCGCTTAAGTGTTCCATTTTGCAGCCAGGGAAACTGAGGCGCAGAGATGCAGGGTCTTGGAAGGGGCTCGGTAGCTGGGGCGAGAATTGCAGTGACTGCATTGCTCCGTTTGTAGAGAAGAGAGATTAAGACCACGTGAAAACAGCTAAAGCCTTTGGGGTAGGGCAGACCTGACCCCCAAATAGACAGTTGTGGTTACTCAACCATTCTGAGCCCAGTTGCTTCTCCGCAAAATGGAGCTCATGTCTGCTTTCAGGAGTGGTTGTGAGGATGAGATTGGAAGCACCTGGGAAGGGAGGCGCCCAAGACAGCACTGCAGAAACCTGGGCGCCAGCCTCCCAGGTAGCCTGACATAAGGTCTACGCGGTGGCCTCCACTTTCCCCGAAAAGCCCTCTCGTCCAGCCGGTGTCCCAAGGCTGATAGGATTGATTAGACTTCGTTAGATGAGTAGGTCTGCACCTCTTTTGAGAATCGAGGACAAAAGAATAGGAGCTCTGCCACTGTGAGGTGAGCTGGGGCGAACGACCCCAGTATCCATGGGGCTAAGGCTTACTCCCCAAGAGAGGAAGAATGGAGAACTGTATAATCCCAATGAGTCCAACTTGGAAGGCTGAGCAAGAAGGATCCCAAGGTGGAGGTCAGCCTGGGCACGCTGGAGACTCTCTTTAAAAAAAAAAAAAAGGAAGTGGTTTGTGTGGGCCTGGGGATGTGACTCAAGGGTAGATCTTGCCTAGCATGGGGGAGGCCCTGAATTCCATCCCCAGAACACCCCCCCACACCCACACAGAGTAAGGAGATCTGGATTGAAAAATAGTGAATAATAGCTGTAATGCTGTGGTGTAACCCTCCAGAAACATGACTGAAAAAAGCCTGCCCCAGCCTCAGTCCACAAGAAGGTGGCTTTCTGCAGGGCTCCTGGGAGGATGGGCTCCTTCTCCTGAGCTGGGTTTGTGTGGCTGAACTGAATGCTTCCCCCTTCCTCTGTCCCGCCCCACCTGCTATATGGTGTTCCTGGCTTCCTAGCCCCTCTGCAAGCATGGCCAGTGTCCGCGGACCTGACCTTTTGGTCCCAGCTCATAAACGGGGGCGCTGAGCTGCAGGGAGCAGGAGTCTTGCCCCTGGCTGCCGATGCTGGGACTGGATGAGGGACTCCTTGAGGCTTGCTCCCCTGCTTCCCAGCTCCCTCTATGTCTCTGAAACTAGCAGAACCCCAAAGCAAAGGCAGTGTATTTATTATCTTGGAGGGACAGGCAGTGGCAGTGGCAGGAGGGTGAATAGGAGTGGCTGTTTTCAGACACACTGCCATCTACCAGACTTCTATTGCACATCCAGTGCAAAGTGCAAATGTGTCACATTGTATGCCTGACTTTTCAGACTGTCCAACAGGCTGGGGGTAGGTGACATTACTTCTTTTCTAGGTGTGCAAAGGAGGTATTGTCATTGTCCTTACTTTACAGGTGAGGAAACAGGCTCAGACAGGTGGCATTCACTTTCCTCAAAGCTGGACTGCCTGGGTGACACTGACTCTCAGCTCTGCTGTTCATCACCTTTGAGCTTTAATTTCCTTAAACTGCTGCCACCCCTTGTCATTTGGACCCCTCTGTTACATTCTCATCTACTCAGTGTGCTTAAGAGGACAAAATAGACCTGGCTCTGCCACTGACATTTCACTCTTCTAAGCCTCAGTTTTCCCTTCTGTAAAATGGAGATGGGAATCCTTGCTCACCTGGGTTTGGGGAGGTGGGAGTAGCACTGTGCACATTAATTTCTCAGCCCATCCCTCCTGAGCTTTTAGGCTCCTGTCTCAGGTGAGAACCACACAATGGCTGTTTTCCATCTCTAATTAAGTGTCATAGATGGTCAAGGTCAGGAAATTCCCTTAATCTGCTTCTTTCTTTCCTCCTGTCCAGCCGAGCGGGCACTGGACACAATGAACTTTGAGTTGATCAAAGGCCAACCCATCCGCATCATGTGGTCACAGAGAGACCCAGGACTCCGAAGATCAGGTGTGGGCAACATCTTCATCAAGAACCTGGAGGACTCCATCGACAACAAGGCTTTATATGATACCTTCTCCGCCTTTGGGAACATCCTCTCTTGCAAGGTGGGTGTGCCAAATACCTGTGTGGTGCAGAGCTGCCAACCAGCACTTCCCTTTACAGTTTAGAAGGTCCTTTCAGCACAGCCCCAGGTATACCAAGCACTTGAACTACAGCTGTTCTTCTCAGTCTGTCTCAACAGAACTAACAGAATCTCGGGCTGGGGTTGTAGCTCAGTGGTAGAGCACTCACCTAGCAAGTGTGAGGCTCTGGGTTCGATCCTCAGCACCACATAAAAATAAATAAGTAAAATAAAGAGATTTAAAAAAAAAAAAAAAAGAGCTAACAGAATCTACCTGTCAGCCCTCTGTGTGACCAGCCCCAAGTGGTGGCCATCAGCGACCACTGTCTATCTAGCTCTGCAGTTGGTGGTTTGTTCTGAACCCAGAGGGGCACTTTGGTTTGACCTGGGCTACCCTCCCTCCTGTGCTCCTTCTGCCTGATGGGAGGCCTCTGGGGTGTATGAAGCAGTGCTGGGCTGGGGGCTGGGAGCTGGGAGCTCGGCTTCCTCCCTGTGGCCTCCCACCCTCCAGTGGCCTAGCTTGGGCCCCCGTAGACAGAAGGTAGAAATTCACTGGGCCTTCTGAGTTGAACTCAGAACTAGGATACGAATATTTCTGCATGCTGTTGGCCAAGACGAGACTCCAGACCAGCCCACAGGCAGGGTGAAGAGTGAGGGGGCTAGAGATCACAGGACAAAGGCTGCAGGAAAGCCATGAATGGGGCTATCATGGCCATCAGTGTCCACATCTTGTTTTTGTTGTGCCTGCTGAGTACAAATGGAACCACTGAGCTGCACCCCCAGACCCTGCCACATCTTGTTGTTAAGGTTTCTTTGGGGGCTAGAAATGGAGCTCAGGGGTAAAGCACTTCCCCAGCATACATGAGGCCCTAGGTTTGATCCCCAGCACCAAAACAAAACAAAAGGATTTTTCTCCCATTGGCATGCAAGTTCACTCAAGAGTAGTGATCCTGTACTTAGTCACTGTTGCATCCCAGTATCTCAGCTAGCCATGAGCACATAATAGGTGCTCAGTAAATATTTGCTGAGTGGTGGGATGAATTATCATTTGAGAAGGTCTCTGATTGTTCTCACTTGGTCTATGAAGATGTTGAGCAGCAGAGGCCAGACAGCAGGTTGGTGTGTGCTGGCCAGAGGGCTTAAGCCTGGGTGTTCTGCCCCTGCATTGTATGGGGATGGCTGGCGAATTACCCTGCAGCCTCTGGGGCAACGCCTTCCTGGGGGCTTATGGCCATCTCTGTCTTGGAACTTTTCTGAGTGCTACTTTGTGTCAGGCACAATCCCTAAGTTCTAAGGCCTCATGCCTTCTCTCTGGATGAGGGACTCTCCCTGTGGTTCAGAGGAGCAGACTGAGACTTGAGGTATAGTAATATGCTGAAGTTCCCTGTGACAGAGAGGGGCTGTCAGATGGGCAAAGATGGGCTGCTCCCCATCTTTGAGAATCGGTGGAAGAGACGCTCTTCAGTAACAATGGCAGATTTGCTAAGTACCTTCTATTACGTGCTAGGTTTTCTGCACAATGGTCACATCCAATTTCCCTCCACAGCCCCTTAAATCACTGAGTTGCACTTGAGGACAGAGAAGTTGAGAGAGTTGGAGTCACTTGTCCACAGTTATGTTGCACTGGGGGTTGATTTTTAGTGGCAGAATCAGAATTTGAATTAGTGGATTTGCCACTGAAGAAAATTGAACAGGGATCAGTGTGTCTTTGCAGGCTACGGGCCTTGAGGTCCTCTGGGACTCTGAGGAGTAGATAGAAAGCTCCATGTGATGCAGGCAGGTCTTTGCAGACTTAATGAGGCTCTGTTGTGGGCCGGTTTAGAAACAAGGCTTACTGTGGGTCCCTAACCTTGGGAGCTCTTGGGCCAGTTGGAGATGGAATAGCTGGAAATCAGCTCTGAGGGAGAAGCATGGTGATCGTGATGGTGATAAGGAAGGAGAGAGCCATTTAGCTGTCAGAGAGGTTTCTGTGTCACTGTGGGAAGAGCACATGACCTGAATCAGGTTACCTAAGTGCCAAGCCCAGTTGCTTAGTTGGGAGCAACATAAGGTCAGACCATGGTCTGGGGCCAAATGTCCTGTGTTTAAACCCTGCCTCTTCTACTTCCTGGTTCCATGACCTTAGGCCTAAAAAGGTGACTTTGGTAGGAGGAACCTACCTCATAGGTTGTCATGAGGATAAACTGAGTTATGTGGAGCCAATGGAAGGACAGTTGAAGTACTGTCAGCAACGCATAGCAAGTAAAATAACTAAGAAGCTGTTTCTGCTGGCTGACCTTGGACAAGTCATTTATTTCCATTTTCCCTCTCCAACTCAGGTTGAGAATTGTCTGGGAGGTTTCTCCTAGCAAACATATCAAGAAGAGTATAGGATGCTCTTGCAGGTGTGCGACCCACAGTGGGGTCCCAGTCAACATTACTGAGTGTGGGTGGAAGAGCCCTGTCTGGGGCTGGGAGGTGGAGGGAGTGTGCTGGGCATGAGTTTGGATGCAGGATCAGTTGTGCAGATCTATTGGAAAGCCTCAGGCGCTGAGAATTTTGTGCGTAGGAGCCACTGGAGCTCAAACAGACTGGTCAGAATCACATTTTAGAAAGAGCATCCCAAGCTGGGCACAGTGGTGCACACCTGTAATCCCAGCTACCTGGGAGGCTGAGGTAGGAGGATGGCAAGTTTGAGACCAGGCTTAGCAATTTAGTGAGACCCTGTCTCAAAATAAAAAATAAATAAAAGGACTGGGGATGCAGCTTAGTGGTAGAGTGCCCCTGGGCTGAATCCCCAGTGCTATTGAAAAAGAAAACACAATGGGGGTTTGAGGACCTGCTGGCGTAGGAAGGCAGAGCTGGTCTGTGGTGTAGGCACAGTGTGCTCATTCTGAGTACTTGATTATCTTACGCAAGTGGATTGGTCTCTTTGAACTTCAGTTTCCCGTCTCTACAATGGTGCTGTTATGTGACACAGGATTATTTTCTATTTTTGGTGCTAGGGATGGAACCCAGGGCCTGTGCCTGCTAGGCAAGCACTGTCCCACTGAGCCACCCCAGTCCTCATGGGACCGTCTTTGACACGCGCAGAGCGAGCACACGGGGCTGGGCACTCATGATCATCTTTGTCATCCTTTTCTCCGGAACTCCGATTGGGGGTTGGATGTTCTGTCTGTCCTTCCTCCCTGTGGTCCAGGTGGTATGTGATGAGCACGGCTCTCGGGGCTTCGGCTTTGTGCATTTTGAGACCCATGAGGCTGCGCAGCAGGCCATCAGCACCATGAACGGGATGCTGCTGAATGACCGCAAAGTGTGAGTGGCTGTGCCCCGGGGAGGGACAGAGGCTGGAGGGACAGGACCGTGGCTCCCACCAACTAGGAAAGGTGGGCGCCAGACACTGAGCAGCAGTCTTCCCGAAGCATGACCTCAGGCAAGTTGCTTGACCTCTCAGGGCCTCTCTCCTAATGTCAAACTGGAGCTGATGTGGGGTGTTAAAGGGTTGTCCCCAGTCAGAAATGCAGTGACCATCTCGAAATTTGAGAGGGGATTTCAGCTGAAGGCCACGTCATCCATGGCCTCTGTGGTTTCATCTGTTTTCCAGTCTCTCAGTCTGGCTGTGCATTTTCTTTAAACCTTGTTTGTTTCATGGGATTTGGGGACAGAAGGAAAAGCAGCACATGCTTAGCCTGCCCAAGGCCGGTGTCAACCCTACTTTACAGATAGGGAGATACAGATGCTGGAGGGGACCTGCTTCTGGCTGCGCCCCTCCCCAGTGTGGATTCTGCCCATCTGGTGGCCCAGCCCTCAGTGCTGGGGAGTGAAGGCGGCTTTGAGCTGGGAGAGTACCTGGGGGCATTTTGCCAGGGTCTCTGGTGGCGGGGGTCCTATTGACAGGTCACACTGACCTAGGTGGGCTTTTACCAATTCTCAAAAAGGTGTCATCTTGCCTGGAGTGGAGGCTCATGCCTGTAATCCCAGCGTCTCGGGAGGCTGAGGCAGGAGGATCATGAGTTTAAAGCCAGCCCCAGCAATGGCAAGGTGCTAAGCAATTCAGTGAGACCCTGTCTCTAAAGAAAATACAAAGTGGGTCTGGGGATGTGGCTCGGTGGTCAAGTGTCCCTGAGTTCAATCCCTGGTACACCCCCCCAAAAAAAGTATCATCTTTGTTAGCAAGTATTAACTCAAATTTCCCTCTGCCGTTTGGTTTCCATCAGCACCAGCATTCCGTGTGCTTGGCTCTCTTCTTAGAGCGCCCCTAGATTCACACCTACCAGAGAGCTATGCTTTTATGTTTTGAGACGGCGTCTTGCTAAATTGATAAGGCTGTCCTCCAACTTGCAGTCCTCCTGCCTCACCCTCCCAAGTCTCTGAGATTACAGGCGTGGTGATGGCACATAGCTATGCTTTTTTTTTCCCCTTAAGGAGACATGCCAGCTCGGCATAATGGCGCTGTCTGGTGGCCCAGCTACTTGGGAGGTTAAGGCAGGCAGACTGTGTGAGTCTAGGCATTGAGACCAGCCTGAGCAACAGTGAGACTCTGTCTCTCTTTAAAAATAGAAATAAAATGGAAAAAGGAAAAAGGTACTCTCCGAGGTGTGTTTATGTGAACTTGGAAATTACTTAAAATTAATGTTGTATTTAAGGGATTTCAGCCCATCCCCCAGAGTGACATTGACCTTGTCTGATTGACTCAGTCCTGCTTTTCTAGTGCACTCAGTATGTATTAAATGAATAAGCAAAGCCTCATGATGTGATTTGGATCCCAGTTTCACAGGAATGAGCACTGAGGCTCCGAGAGGTGAAGTGACTTGCCCAGGGTTACACAGTGAGGTAGATGCAGACTGAGGATTCAAGTTCTTGTCTAAATCCCAAATTTGCCTCCTGTGCTCTTAGCTGCCTGGTATATGGTGTGTGTTTGTCACAAAATAAAGTCTTCTGGATCTTATGCTGGGGACAAGCTCTGAAACATAGCCCTTGGCTGTTGGAGAGTCTTGGACAGGTTCACCTACATGGAACGGCCCTGTGCAGTTGCCCAGTGAGGGAGGTGGAGGCTGGGAAGGACAGTGACTGGCACAAGTGGCCCAATGGTGCTGGGTGGCTTGGGGGTACGGGGAGGGGTGCTAAGATCTGGCCGCTGCCTGCCCTGGTGGTGTGTCCACAGCTTTGTTGGCCACTTCAAGTCTCGAAGAGAGCGGGAAGCCGAGCTGGGCGCCCGGGCCCTGGAGTTCACCAACATCTATGTGAAGAACCTGCACGTGGACACGGACGAGCAGGCCCTGCAGGACCTCTTCTCCCAGTTTGGTGTGTGGGTTCCCGAGGGAGGAGGGGTCCCCACTGCTCCTCTTCACACCCAGGTTTGCCATGAGGAGGGCCCTCCTGGGGCTTCCCGAGGTCAGGGAGGGAGCATCCTGGGGCTCCCCACCTCCCCTTTGAGCCAGGTCGATCCTTCCCAGGAAAGATGCTGAGTGTGAAGGTGATGAGGGACAACAGCGGCCACTCCCGGGGCTTCGGCTTTGTCAACTTTGAAAAGCATGAGGAAGCCCAAAAGGTAGGAGCTGCCCAGTGGCCCTGTTCCAGGGAAGAGGGGCAGAGCCAGGACCAGGAGGAAGGGAGATGGGGTACGGGCCTCTAGCCGCTGTGGAGGGGAAGAAGTTCCCCTCTATTGGGGCCAAGAGGGTGGGAGAGTCTGGCCCTTCTAGGCTGGGGGGCAAAGGCAAAGGCTCCATCCCCAAGGTCACTTCTAAGCCTTGCGGTTCAAAGAATTGAATACTGAGGCAGGGAAGCCAAAGTCCTCCTCAGACACAAGTCTTTACTAATGAACCAGCCACTTAAGACAGTTCCCTTCAACATTTCTCCTAACACAGTGTAAAAGATAAAAAACCCATGAAAAATCCTAGCCACTGAGTCAAGAAATGCTTGGGATTGACTTCTGATTCTTGTGGTTGAGCTAATGAAAATGCAGTTCAAAGTCCATAGATAACAGAGATAAGTTGCACAGAGGATGCGGAATTTTATGCAGTTAACTGGCCCTGCTAAATCCTTAGTTTAAGATACAAACATTTTCTTTTCTTTTTCTTTATTCTTGGGATTGAACCCAGGGGCACCTCACTGCTGAGCCACACCCCTAGCCCATTTTATTTATTTTTTATTTTTTAAATTTTTTAGAGAATTTTATATATATATATATAAAATGTATATATGTATGTGTATATATAATATATATATGTATGTGTATATATAATATATATATGTATGTGTATATATAATATATATATGTATGTGTATATATAATATATATATGTGTGTGTATATATAATATATATATGTGTGTGTATATATAATATATATATGTGTGTGTATATATAATATATATNTATATGTGTGTGTATATATAATATATATATGTGTGTGTATATATAATATATATATGTGTGTGTATATATAATATATATATGTGTGTGTATATATATTATATATATAATATATATAATATGTGTGTGTATATATATTATATATATAATATATATAATATGTGTGTGTATATATATTATATATATAATGTTTTAGTTTTCGGTGGACACAACATCTTTATTTTTATGTGGTTCTGAGGATCGAACCCAGTGCCCCATGCATGCCAGGCGAGCGCGCTACCACTTGGGCCACATCTCCAGCCCCAACCCATTTTATTTTTTTATTTTGAGACAGGGTTTCACTGTGTTGCTTAGGACCTTGCTAAAGTTGCTGAGGCTGATCTTGAATTTGTGATTCTCCTGCCTCAGCCTCCCAAGTTCCTGGGATTACAGGCGTGTGCTGCAATGCCCAGCCAAGACATAAATGTTCATTAAAAAAAAAAAAAAAAAAAACTTACAGGGCTGGGTTTGTGGCTCGGTGGTAGAGTGCTTGTCTAGCAAGGGCGGGGCCCGGGTTCAATCCTCAGCACCACATAAAAAAAATAAAGATATTGTGTTATGTACATCTACACCTAAAAAATGAAAAAAAAAAACTTACAGTCCTCAGTTAGCAAAAAGGATTCTTTCGTACTGTGAAATACCGATATGAAGTGATGATTACAATTGTCCTTTTGTGTGTGTGTGTGTGTGTGTGTTACTGAAGATTGATCCAGGAATGCTCTACCTCTGAGCTACATCCCTGGACCTTTTTTATTTGAGACAGGGTCTTGCCAAGTTGCCCAGACTGGCCTCAAACTTTCAATCCTCCTGCTTCAGCCTCCCAGGTAGCAGCTGGAATTACATGACATGATTACAGCTGTGCCTTCATGCCCAGCAGTAATCGTGTCATTTGCTTGCTGCTCTGTTCAAATTGTCCACATGTAGTTGCAGTAAGAACTTGAATTTCAGATATTTTCTAGCAGACTTTACTTTTTAAAGCAGTTTTAGGTTCACAGCAAAATTGAGTGAAAGGCACAGGTATAGGTATACTCCCTTTACCCCTACACATACCTGGCCTCCCTTATTGTCAGTGTCCCCCAACAGAGTGACATACTCATTATAGCTGATGAACCTGCACTGGCGCATGGTTATCACAGGACATGTGCTCATTGTCTCACTACCAGTGTTTCACTGCCCTAAGAAACTGTGCTCTTTCACCTTCCCTACCCACCAGCCACTGGCCAACACTGATCGTTTGTACTGACCTCAAAGTTCTGCCTTTTCCAGAATTCATATAGTGGAAATCATATAGCATGTAGCTTTTACAGGTTGGCTTCTTTCACTGAGTAATATGTATTTAAAATATGGGAATACTTGAATATATTTAAAATAATTAAGTTTTAAATATGGTTCAGTGGTAGAGCACTCACCTAGCATGTGCGAGTATTGTGTCCAACTACAACTATATATATATATAAATATATATAAATTTTTAATTTAAATAAGGGAAACTTTGCGGACTTCAATTTTTTTAAAAAATAGAGCCCTACTCAAATTTTAAATATCTATAATTCACTTTGCAAAACTTTTCAAATGACCTTTATCCGGTACTAATGATCCTGAGCAAGGAAGGCCAGAGTAGTTTGCAGGGAGTTCCCGCTAGGCCCAAAGGCAGGGCTGGAGACCAAGAAGATGGCCAGGTCTGGGTGGTTACCAGGTGTTTGCTCCCCTCCCCAGGCTGTGGACCAAATGAATGGGAAGGAGGTGAGCGGGCTACTGCTGTATGTGGGCCGAGCCCAGAAGCGGGCAGAGCGGCAAAATGAGCTGAAGCGCAGGTTCGAACAAATGAAGCAGGACAGGCAGACCCGCTACCAGGTGAGCCCAGGCGTTCGTGTGGACAAAGGGCTCTACATATTCCAAATCCCCTAGAGGAAATCCTACTCCAGGCTACGAATAATTAGGCCAAATGTGTCACATTCAAAGGTGGAATGTGGTGCAGTCATTAAAATTATACTAAGTAAGGGGCTCGAGCTGTGGCTCAGAGGTAGTGTGCTTGCCTGGCATGTGGGAGGAACTGGGTTCAATTCTCAGCACCACGTATAAACAAAAAATAAAGGTCTATCAACATAAAAAAAAATTTTTAAAAACGTTTTAAGTTAATTCATGTAATTAAAATTGTAGATCAGTACAATTTAAGCCTTCTTTGGGAAATGAATCCCTCAAAAGTTTTTAATATAAGTTCTAGGTCCTTCATGGAGAAGGGTGTGTGTTCTCCATATATACCTACACCCACGCGCGCGCAGTCCATCCTCAGTAGCGCACAGTGAGGAGCAGTTTTTCCTCTCTACACTAGGGACGTTTGGCAGTGTGTGGAATTTTCAGTGGTTGTGTTTTGGGGGCAGGGTGCTACTGGGTACAGGCCAAGGACACAATATGGGCAAGCAGGATATACAACTGTACAATGGTGGGGTCTCAATTCTGTTGTGTGTTCACACACTTTTGTGCTTGGGCAGTCTGGAAGGAGGACATTGAGGTCCTGGGGGCAGCTGACATTCAGTGCCAAGGAGCCAGGGGTCTGAGGTTAGACCACCTGGGTCAGTCCTGTCAGCCACTTCCAGGCTGTCTGGTCAGAGGCGATGCACTTGACCTGTTGATGCTTCAGTTTTGATGTGTGTGAAATGAGGATTAAAGTCTCCTTCTCTTAAGGATTAAATGTCAAAATGTGTGAAGGACCTAGGGGTGTGCCTGGCACCAGGGGAGGGTCAACTTACTTGGTTCTGAGCCAGCAGGCGTGAGTGGCAGCTGGCCCTGCCTGGGAGGAGCTCTGTGTCCCCCATCTATAAAATGCGTAAAGCCCATGGGGAGGTGGGGACCCAGGCAGGTGTATGAGAACTACCCGGGCTGCAGCTTCTGGGTAATGGGCATGGGCATGGGCATGGGCATGCTGAGCCATGGGAGCCTGAGAACAGGAGGCTGGGCTGGCAGGGCTCCCAGGGACTCTTGTGTCCATGGCAGCCCGATGTCGTCCTGAGGCGATCTGGGGCTTGAGGCGGGAGGGCGAATCAAGCAGTGCCCTTTCCTATAGGGCGTGAACCTGTATGTGAAGAATCTGGATGACTCCATTGATGACGAGAGACTGAGGAAAGTGTTCTCTCCCTACGGAGTGATTACCAGCGCGAAGGTGAGGGCCGGGACGTGTCCAGGGCACAGCCTCCCCTTCACCCTCCCATCCCCGCACGCCCACCAGCCTCTCACTGGGCATTTGGGGAGTTGGTGCTGGGCTTTTTAGGGCTCTGTCTGACCCTATTGGAGCTCGTAATCCATCTGCAGCCTTGTCTAGGTTGGAGGGGAAGAAAGTAGACGTATAGTCTACTACTGGATTTGTTAGGGTGCACTGTAACAACATTTATTGAGTACCTGCTGTATGCCAGATTCTGGAAATTTATGTCTTAAAATTTCTGTGGACCTTTGTTTTCTGGCTTTGGCCAATGACATAACCCCTCTGGGCCTCCGTTTTCCTATCTGAAAAATGAGAGAATTGGGTTGTATTGGTTTTCCACACATTCTTCCCCATTTATTGAGCACCGTGTGCCCACCCCTGTGAGACATCCGAGATGTGAAAATGGTCCTCCTACTCAGTAGCTCTAGGACCCTGACCAGGAGTCTTAACTTCTTAGCCTTATCTCTTTAGAGCCATGGGCTCACTACATGGTGCTCAGCCCTGGCTTCTTGAGGATCGCCTGGAAAGTTCTTCAGTACAGACCTGGATCAGACAAACTGAATGTAGATATCTGGAGGCAGGGCTTGGGCACCTTTTGAAAAGTCCCCAGATGGTTTTAAGATGACCCATGGCTTATTCATCCCACCCTGTGGGAAGCATCTAGGAACATACCAGGTGTGTTCTGGAACAGACTGGTATGTTCTGTTAACAGCCTTTAAATACTGTGAACTCATAAGAACGGGGGATGCTGGAGGCAAGGCTAGGTGGGACAGAGGGAGGCTTCCTGGAGTAGCAGTGGCAGCAGGGTTTGACTTGTCGGGCTCTGTGGGTGGGAATTCGGAACAGTGTGGGTGATGGGGCCAGGGACCTGCGCATATGTGATGGTTGGGGTCTTAGAAAGGGATCTAGAATTTCTCTCGATGTTGAATCCAATCTTAAACCCTTCAGGGAGCCTGGTATCTGGGGAAGATTCTCATTTGCAATGGTGGAGAGGTAGAGACCTTTTGAAAAATGAGACAGGAAGCTATGGGATCAGGTCCTGCTTTTAGGAAGTGCAGTACCCTTGGTGCAGCATTGTACTGGAAAGCTGGGCTCTTCGAGTTCCTTAGACCTACATCTAAATCCCAGCCCTACCATTTCCCAGCTGGAGAACCTGGGCATGTGAGTGCCTTTCAGACTCTGTTTACCCACCTGTGAAATGGAAGCAACATCATCCCTCGGGAGGCTCCCGAGTGCTGCGCATAGAGCTGCATCCAGAGCACGTGCAGTCCATGTGCAGCAGGCCGGAGTGGCTGTGATCATCGGGCACACATTGTATTTAATTTAAGGAGATTCACTGACATCGAGGAGTCCTTGAACAAAGGACATATATAAATCTGGATGGCTCGGAGTTGAGGGACACCTGGGGTGATCATCTTTTCAGTAGGCCAATCAGGTTATGAGGATTTTATGTAATTTTATATATTTTCCATTTTATATAAAGTAGTGATTATGAGAATTGAGTTGATGTATAAACTAACTACTATAAATACTTAGTCCATAGTCAAGTTCATAATAAATTCTGCATGTTTACTAATTATCATTACCATTGTTTTTACCTATCAGGTTTTTTTTTTTTTTTTTTTTGCTACTGGGGATTGAACACAGGGCATTCTACCAGTGAGCTACATCCCCAGCCCCTTTTTATTTTTATTTATATATATTTTTTTTTTACCAGGGATCGAACCCAGGGGTGCTTAACCACTGAGCCACATCCCCAGTCCTTCTTTATATTTTATTTAGAGACAGGGTCTCACTGAGTTGCTTAGGGACTCACTAAGTTGCTGAGGCTGGCTTTGGGATTCTCCTGCCTCGGCCTCCAGGTGTTCCTGGCATCCTATTAACAGTTCTTAACAGTATTTTTGTGTCAACATCTCTGTCTGGTGAGCCTGTGGATCCCTTCTAATAATATACCAGTTTTATTGAAGTATGACATCAAAATACTAAAATGTCAGAAGTAAGTACTACTTGTTTTTTTATTGCGGTGCTTGGGATTAAACCCAGGGTCTTGTGCACGCAAGGCAAACACTCTACCAACTGAGCTATATCCCCAGTCTAGTAAGAACTTCTTTATTAACACATCAACCTAAGATCTATCAGGGTAGCAGAGTAAATGACAGTTTGAGATCAGCAACATTATGTCATGATTTCTCTTCACCATAGTCATAGGCCTGGTTAAAATTGCCATGATATTTTTCTTTTGTTGCCCATATTCATAATGGGAGGAAATGCTAGTGTAGAAATAAGGCTGTCACTTTTCCCCATTAAGTTCACAGCCCCTCTGAATTCTATAATGACTTCCCTGGGTGGGGGGATCTATGGGTTCCCAGTTATACTGTGGGGTGGCAGTTTGAAAGTCACCAAGTCAGAGCACAGGCTCTGAAAGGGCAGGTGTTGGAAAGAGCTCTAGCCCTTTGAGTGTGGGAGCCCGGGCAGTGTCTCAACCTCAGGAAAGCTTACCCACAAAACAGGGAGAGATCCTGGAAGAGAAAAAATATTAGTTAAAAAAGTGAAATCCAAATGAAGTGTAGAGTGGGCGGGGAGGTGTCATGGTTAATCACATTGCATCAGGGTCAGAGTCTGGACAAATGTGCCTTGCTAACTTAGGGAGGCTGCGAGGGACCCAGGGCTCGGTACTGTTCCTGTAACTTTTCTGTAAGTCTGAAGTTACTCCAAAACAATGAGGCCATTTTATAAGGCTGAGAATATCTTCCCCAAACTCCTAAAGAACTTGGCCCAGGGCCTTGCAGAGGCCTCTGGCTGTGTCTGGGTCCCTTTGTTCCCATAAAGTGGGAGCTGCAGGACCTCCCTCACCGGGAGGCTGTGCACGTGAGCCTCATGTAAAGGCACGCAGTGTCTGGCACACAGTGGCCTCAGTCAACACAGGGTGCACAGCTTGTCCCCTGAGCACAGGTTTCTCACGGGGCTTCCTGGGGGAGGAGGGGAGCACAGCTCAGGAGTCTTCCTCCTCCATCCCCAGCAACCCTTGTCTTGTCTTGCTTTTAGGTGATGACAGAGGGTGGCCACAGCAAGGGGTTTGGCTTTGTGTGTTTTTCCTCTCCAGAAGAGGCAACCAAAGCTGTGACAGAGATGAATGGGCGCATCGTGGGCACCAAGCCTCTGTACGTGGCATTGGCCCAGCGCAAAGAGGAGCGGAAGGCCATCTTGACCAACCAGTACATGCAGCGCCTCTCTACGGTGCGGGCTCTGGGCCGCCCCCTTTTGGGCTCCTTCCAGCAGCCCTCCAGCTACTTCCTGCCCGCTCTGCCCCAGGTGACAGTTTGCCCGCAGCTCCCGCCACACCCTTTCCCTGACAGCCAGGTAGAGCAGGAAGGCGGGAGCTTCCAGGGAGAGCTTCTGTTGAAATTCACTAGGCAGCTGTCCCAACCCCTGAAGCTGTCACCTCACCTGTAAAAGGTGGAGTACCCAGGAGCATCTCCCCGCCTGAGAGAGTCTTGAATCGCTTGTGCAGAAAGACTTTCTTTGGTCAGATAAGTTGAGGAGATGTTGCATCAAACAAAAGGAGCCTCCATTTCTTTACCACATCCATATCCTGCCCGAACACGCTGACCCCACGGTGGCCCCCAGAGGGGGGAGCAGGAGGCTTTCCTCGGTTCGTGGTGGTTTGTGTGGGTGCCTGTTAACACCTCCCTGCGCTGCCGTGCTGAGGAACCTGGTTGGGAAAGGACCTCATGGGACTTACAGGAAGTAGGAAGACATAAGCCATTGAAGGCCACAGGGTTGGTGACATGCCCTCTCAGCTGGCACAGATCTGAGATCTAGGCCTGATAAGGAGCAGGGATTGAAATCTGAGATCTTTCCCTAAAGGGTCCTCATGAGAGAGGAAGGAGCCCTTTACTAACCTGTTCCCTAGAGGGGACAGTAGAGTTCCTGCAGTAGTGTCCCTGGAAGGATGAGATTTCTCACCTGGCCCCTCTATTGCTGAGCCCCTCATTCTAGGTCCTCTTCTCCCCCACAGCCTCCGGCCCAGGCTGCGTACTGTGCCTCTGGCTCCATGGCCTCCATCCAGCCTGCCCCCAGGTGGACAGCCCAGCCACATAGACCTTCATGTGAGTGACCCAGCCCCCACACCCCCAGCCCAGCTATGGTTATGGGCCCCAGAAGCAGTGTGTAACACAGGGTCAAGCCATTTCACCTCCCTTGAGCCTCAGTTTCCTCTTCTCAGTGTGGGCCTGAATGAGTGTGCATGAAGCCCCCAGAACAGCAGCAAGGCTGTAGAGGACATGCAGGGTGGCCACTGTCCTTATCTCCAAAGACTTCTCTCATTTATAGCCGAACAATCGGGAGGCTAAGGCCCTAAGCAACTCAGCAAGACCCTGTCTTTAAATTAAAAAAGAAAAAGGGGTGGAGTGGGCCCCCCGGCGCCCCCCCCCCCCCCGCACTGGGGATGTGGCTCAGTGGTTAAGGCCCCTGGGTTCAATCCCCAGTACAAAAAAAAAACAACAACCTTGTAACAAATCTGAGAAAATGAAACTCCTCTGGCTACACTGCTGATGACCTTCCTAAGAGCCAAGTTCACATTCACTTAAAACTGTCTTAGGGGAACTAAGGTGCATGACCCCAGCACTTAGGCATCTTGGGGCTTTGGGCAGACATGAGCTGGCTTTGTCACTGAAGATTTCCATACTCCCACTCCCTGGAGTTTTGGGTTGGAGTCACTCATCTCTCTGCTGTCAATTTGTAGTTCCCCTTCCCGGCCCCGGACCCTTCAGAGCATGGTGATTATAGCCCATAAACTTTCTCTCTCCATTTCTCTGTGCTGCAAGCCGTCTGTCCTCCAGCTGCTGCAATGGTCCGGCCAACAGGCATGTCTCGGCACCCCCGGGCCCACGCTGGCAGTGTCAGTCAGGCCTCCACCCAGGAGCTCCACCCGGTGCACCACACCCAGAGAGTGGGTGAGTGTGTGCAGGGCCAAGAGGACTGTGGGTGTGAGGAAGGTAGGCAAGTCTTGGTGCTGAGGTTGGCCTTGGAGGGAGTAAGACCAGTCTCCATAGTGACCTTGCCTCCTGGTAAGCCAGGCTGACTCTGGAGGCCATGCATGTATGTGGAAGTTAGCTTGGCCCCCAGCTCCTGGGACTTGCTCACTCTGTGGTCCTAACTACTGTCCCTGACCACCTGTTCTTTAAAATGGGTGTAAGAATAGCGAGTCCCTTTTGTGAGGACTGAGAACACACAGCCAGGAGCTAGATCTTAGGACTGCAGTGGCTGTGCACACGTGTGGGCTTTGGCTGCAAGGCAAGCATAGCCATTGCTTCACTCAGCAAACCTCCTCATGTGAGTCCGTGTGCTGGTCCTGCGCTTGGCATCTGGGGCTTCTGTATGAACAAGCTAGACTGAGTCCTTGGCCTGAGGTCACTGCCAGGCCCTGACACCCTGCTTTTTTCTTTTTATTGTGGTAAAATATACATAACAATTTACCAGTTGACTTTTTTTTTTTTTTGGGTACTGGTAGTTGAACCCAGAGCATTCTACCACTGAGCTACATTCCCAGTCCTTTTTATTTTCAAACAAGGTTCCACTAAGTTGCTAAGGCTGGCCTCAAACTTGTGATCCTTCTGCCTCAGCCTCTCAGAGTTGCTGGGTTAATAGGCATGCGCCATTGTGCCCAGCATCACTTAACCTTTTTTTTTTTTTTTTTTTTTGGTACTGGAGAATTGAACCCAGGGGCTTAACCACTGAACCACATCCCTAGGCCTTTTTATTTTTTGACACAAGGTGTTATTAAATTGCTTAGGGCCTTGCTGAGTTACTGAGGCTGGCCTCAAATTTGCGATCCTCCTGTCTCAGCCTCACAAGTTGCTGGGATTATAGACGTGTGCCACCACGCCCAGCTCCCTTACTCATCTTGAAGTGTACAATTCAGTGGCATTTAGTGCATTCAAAGTGTTGCAGCCATTGCCACCATTCACCTGCAGAACTTTTCCTTGCAAAACAAATTATATATCCATTAAACCCTAACTCCTCACTTCCCCCCACCCTCCATTCCCTGGAAACCACCATTCTACTTTGTCTCTGAGAATTTGACTATACCAAGTATTTCATGTAAGTAGAATTATATAAATGTGTCCTTTTGTGACTTATTTCACTTAGCACAGTATCTTCAGGATTCACATATGCTGTGGCATGTGTCAGAATCTGTCTTTTTAAAAAAAAAATTTACTTATTTATTTATTTTTATATACTGCTGAGGACTGAACCCAGGGCCTCACATGCAAGGCAAGCACTCTACCACTGAGCTACAACCCCAGCCCAGAATCTCCATTCTTTTTAAGGCTAAATAATATTCCATTGTACACATATGCCACGTGTTGCTCATCCAGTCATCTGTGAGGGACACCTGAGCTGCTCCCACCTGCTGGCCGCTGTGCACATGAGTCACAAACCTCCGAGACCCTGCTTTCCATTCTTTTGGGTACATACCCACAGCGGAACTCTTGGGTGATTTGGTGATTCTCATTTTTTGAGGAACACTCATGTTACATGTTTTTCCACAGTGGCTGTTTTTTGCACTCCTGTCAAGAGTGCACGAGTGTTTCAATTTCTCTATGCTAACCAACACATTATTTTCTGTTTGGGGTTTTGTATTGTGGATAGCAGCTGTTTGAACCCTGTTTATTTTTTACAGCCAACATTGGTACCCAGACGATAGGACCCAGTGGGGCAGGATGCTCTACACCAGGCCGGCCTCTCCCACCATACAAATGTCCCTCAACTGTACACAGTACCCGTGGGGTAAGACTGGCCCAGCTGCCTGCCCTACTCTGGGCTATGGGAATCCTGGCTCAGAACCTTGGCTAATGTGTTGGCTTATAAAGTTCCATTAACTAATGTGTGCAGCAGAAGGGGAAAGAGGGCCAGGGTCATATTTTATTTGCTAATTATGATTTGCTCTGCCTAGGTTATAACTAAAATTAATTTGGATTTCTGTAGTATTTCTGTTGAACATCAGTGAAAGGTATTCTAAGAATATACTGAGTATTGAAGGGATGTGATTAAGTATCAAAATAGGACTAAAAATATCTACTATCATTTAATGAAAGACTGTGTATGTATTTTCCTATCAAAAAGAGGCCTCAAATTCAACACTATCATATCCTGTCTAGAATTCTAATGTGCCTAGTTGAACTATCTTTTGCATTTGAACAAGAGTGGTCTTTAAACAGCAAAAACACTTTTTAAAATTACCAACCTGTGAAAGGGTGTCCATAAAGCTACCTGATACGGTGCTTTACCTGGCACTTAGTGATTAGTGATGCATGACTTTCATTTGGTAACAGATTAGGGGCATATATGGGGTCATAGCACATCTAAGTCTTCTAACCCGTGTGCTCTTGTTAGGGACTCTGCCCCACCTGATTGTCCAGACCTTATCCCCGGCTCCCCTCTTCCAGAACCTTCCTGGAGGCCTGTGTTCACATAGTATTTGGAGGCCTTTCCCATCCCTGTGGTTAAGGGACATGTCCCTGGCACTGTATAGGTCCAGGAGCCTGCTGTGCACGTGCCTGGCCAGGAGCCCCTGACCGCATCCATGCTGGCTGCAGCGCCCCTGCATGAGCAAAAGCAAATGATTGGTGAGTGGCTGACACCCCTACATTCGTGCAGCAAAAGGAGGGCTGGGAGCTGATAAGACTGCTGGGAGCCTCACAGAGCTGCCCAGCGATCTCACCCGATCTGCTTCTACCCTAGTCTTAAAACTCTGGTCAGCCCAGGCTTTTTCCAGTTCTGCTGTTCTGACTGACTTGGTGAGACACACCCCAGATGTAGAGAGGGCCAGGATCAGGAGGCACCATAAGAAAGCGGACAACCTTGAGTTGAGGCTGAGAAATGGCCCAGGGGTGTTACAGTTTGTTACCAAATTTAATCTGTGTCCTGGTGCCYACTGCAGGGAGGTGCAAAAAATCTGTGCACAGGACTCTTGAATTCCTGGTTCACTTCTGTCCATGACATGAGTCTGGGTGACTGAATGGGCAGGCTTGTTCCTGATTGGCAGCATCTTCCCTGCATGGTCATGGAGATCTTCCGGCTGAAGGCCTTAGATACTTCCACACCGCTCATCTCTCGGTTTATTTATTAGGGTTTTGCCATTCTATATCCCATCCCATCTGCTATAAAATTTTTTTGAATGTGCTTAACAAAGGCAGAAGTTTTTCTTAGGCGGTCTCTGTAAACATTCCCTTATGGGAAGACCCTTATCCCACCATTTAAGATCCCAATCCTGGCTGGACCCTCCATGTGCCTGACGCCAACACTAAGACTTCTTGTTAGAAATCCTTATAGTGGAAAATGAATTTGCCCTATGATTTGTTTTCCACCCTCCAAAGAAACTCCCAAGTTCAGCATTATCATATTCTGTCCAGAATTTCGATGTATCTAGTTAGAACTATTTCTTGCAAAATGAACGAGTGGTCTTTAAAGAGCAACTGACTTTGTGTTAGGCCCTGTGCTGTAATTACTTCATATACATTATCAAATTTGATTCTTCAAACTGTCCTTTAAGGCAGGGTTTGCCATGGGCACTATGCAGCTGAAAAAAGAAGTTCCCAGTAAGTGACACAGCCTAGAAGGAGCACTGGGTTAAGAACCCAGATGTCCTCGCTGCTCCACCCCTGACACCACTCTTGGGTGCTGGGCTATGTATGGGCCAGGTGTGGCATAAGCCATCAGAGCTTGTCCACACAGGGGAGCGTCTTTACCCGCTTGTCCATAACGTACACAGCCAGCTGGCCGGCAAGATCACAGGCATGCTGCTGGAGATCGACAACTCGGAGCTGCTGCTCATGCTGGAGTCTCCAGAGTCCCTCCACGCCAAGGTAGGTCGAGCCTGGTCAGCAGGACAGCCAAGGACAAGGCCTGTCCCAGCTATGAGGCCAGAAGAAGTGGATCTTCTTGCTCTCACTCCTTGAAGGCCTGCTGAATGTTGGTGTGGGAGAGGGCTTCCCCCCCACTTTGGTACTGGGGATTGAACCCAGGGGTGCTTTCCCACCAAGCCACATCCCCAGCCCTTTATATTTTATTTAGAGACAGGGTGTCTTGCTAAGTTGCTTAGGGCCTCACTAAGTTGCCAAGGCTGGCTTTGATCTTGTAATCCTCCTGCCTCAGCCTCACAAGCTGTTGGGATTTCAGGCATGCATCACCACACCTGTGGGAGAGGGCCTTAATTGAGGGTGTGCTACTTGAGGTTTTGGTATAAGGAACTATATTCTGACTCGGTATAAGGGTTTTTTCCAGTGTCCAGCAGTGTACCTCTATCTTGACAAGGTGACCGTGGGGCAAGGGATCTTGCAAGCAGCAGTGGATGAGGGGTTCACAGACCCTTTCTCATGCTGAGGTGGGGGAGGCCAAGGCCCTTTTGGGATCCTTCTGAGAAGCTGTGTTAAGCCCCTTCTACTTGTGTCTCGCAGATAGAAGAGGCTGTGGCAGTGCTGCAGGCACACCAGGCCATGGAGCAGCCAAAGGCATACATGCACTGAAATCAGGTGGGTGGCTGTGCAGGGAGGACAGGGATACAGCAGCTGAGTTCAGAAGCAGCTGTGGACAACTGGGCCTCAGGCTGCCTCTCAGAAACTGAGAGCTGTTATGTTGTTGGCTTTGAGGCATCGAGGAAGCTGAGGAATCATGAAGAGTCAGGGAGGTGCTCTTGTAGCAACTGCCCTACTGGCCTCATGCAGAATGGTCTGGGCTTCCCCTGGACACTGGCTGGCTCCATCAGCTGAATACTGGATGTCTGCTATCCTGCAGCAATGATTTTTTCCCTTTCATTCCCAGAAAATGGATTCCTTACTCCTGTGGCTGTCAAGAGAAACAGCATCTCCTGCTCTCAGCTCTGAGGCCCTGTGAACTATAACTTATTTCCCAACTGGACTGAATCTTTACTTGAGCCCTGTATATGGAATGAAGGCTGTCACCAAGTCAGCCATTTCCCTTTTGTTCTGTGCATTAAAAGTGCTGCAAAATCTGGCCTCTTAGGAGGCTTTCTTGAGCCTGAGGGAGTTGGGGGCAAAGAAAAGAGCAGACTTGACTGGGGCTTTGATGTAAGAAATAGAACCCCCCAAAGCACTAACATACACAGGGTGCATACACTAGAACCGAACTATCAGGAATTGAGTTAGGCTACTTGTAGTAGCTCCAAATTAGAAATGACTAGCCCATCAGGAGTGCAGTGGATGGTTAAATGGGTATCATACAATGGACTGAGAAAGTGGGAAAAAGCTACAGTGATGTATGGCATTTCTGGACCCCTAGCTTGAGCAAACAGCTGGCAAACACCTGAGAAGCAAGAAATTGCTTCCAGGCCCTGGGCTGCTGGAGGAGTTGTGTAATTAAATGTAGGAATGTTAGGATGCCTTCCCAGATTGTGGTCTCCTTCCCCTGCAGGAAACTGAAAAGTCTCTGAAGAAGGTTCTTTGGGATAATTAGTCCTCACCTCCCATCAGGGATGTAGACCCCAGTTTTATGACCTCCCCTGTTATCAGGGCAGCCAAAGGATAAGGGCAAGGATCACAACCCAGCACATGAGTACTGCCATAAGTTCCCCAGCAATACATCCAACTGAGTCTTCAAGGTTGTACTGATATTCTGTCTTAATTCCTCTCTCTGTTCTCTATAAATGTTCTATTTTTGGAGATGAGACCTAATTTGCCCATACTGGCTTCAAACTTGTGATCCTTCTGTTTCTGCCTCCTGCATAGCTCAAACTATGTGCCACCACACCTGACTCACAAATGCTATTTCAAACTTTCTCCACTCCTCAAGCTTCTGGCCCCATATCCCCTGTGCAGACTTTATCTTCTCTTCAAATGCTGAATGCTAGAATTTCTTCAGGCCCTCTCCTCTTCGGTATCTGATAATGGCATCTTCAATTTGCACCTGCTCTAGGATGACTCTTGGAGACTCCTGGGTTACAGGTCTCATGTTATCTGCCGTCAACCTTTTTTTTTTTTGGGTGCTGAGAATTAAACCCAGGGCCTATTACATGCTAAGCAAGCACTCTACTATTAAGCCACATCCCCAGCCATCTACCATTAACACTTCCAACTTGTCTAAAATGAAGCTCACGATTCGATGTGCCTCTCCCCCAATTCTGTGGCTCTCCCTTCCAGTGGTCTGTGTTTTAACAGATGGCCCCACCCTCATTCTGTTGCAAAAGCCCCAATCAGGGTTCCCCCACCCCCTGTGCCACTTCACTTTCCCGCCTCATCTTCCACATGAAATCTATTAATTTTGACCCCCCCCCACTCTCATCTTTCTACTTCTAAATCCACTATCCCCACCCTAGTCCAAACTCAGAGGGACTCTGGCAATAGCCTCTCAGTGGCTTCACTACATCTGCAATGACCACTCTCCCATGCCCTCCACCACACAATCAGAAAGCTTGCCTCAGGATGCGCATCTTTCCTCTCAGCCTGCGAAAGACCTTCAGTAGCTTCCTACTGTTTGTGCAGGGTCTCAGGTTTTGTCCTTGCTCTCTCCGGCTCCCACATGGGAATTGGAAGAAGACTGTCATTCCCATGAAATGACCTTGTCTTAGGATAGGGGGTAGAATTCATTTATGGCTAGTAAGACAGTAATATTGACAGCTGTCCCTTTCCTAGAAATGTTAACCTATCACATGTAGAAATTTTAATCTTCATAGCCTCTCAGGAGATGGACGGTGATAACTTTCAAACACAGGTGATGACAAAGCTTACCATGATATTCTCTATATGTTTATCAGGAATTTAAGTACCAAAAAAAAAAAAAGGCCCCTTCGCCTGTGAAGGCCAAGGCCTGGCTGCCTGCTTCCACTGAGTCTAGATGTGCCTTCTATAGCTCTATGTGGGTTGTGATGGGTGTTGCCACTAAATCTGCCTCAAATCAGTGAAGCCCCAAAAGAAGTATTAATGGGGTGTGGCTCCCCACTCTGACAAGGTCCTCTGGCCACACCTGGGGCCTATTGGGTGTGTCTGACTCCTACAATGAACTTGAGTCTAGAGGTCTGTGAATATTCAGATAGCAAAAGACTCGTGCTTAAGCGCTGCTCCTGACCTCCCTTCACAGCTCATGTTCCTTATCACCTTTGTGATGAGAAGTATAAGCCAACAAACCTTTGTTTAATCATAAAACTTCTGCATTGAAGTAAAACTAATTTAACTAGGACCACAGCCCAGGAAGGGGAGGCAGCCCTTAATTCTGGTCAAATTCTAAAGTACTCCAGCCTTACTCCAGGCCATGTCGTGTGAACCTGAGTGGTATTTTTTTTTTTTTTTCTGAGTGGTATTTTTTAGCCCCTGTGCTTCCTCACCACGTCCTCCCAACTAGGACTGTTGGGTCTCTGCACACTGCTTTCAACGCCCTCCCCACTTCACCAGTTAACCTCTCACTTTAAAACACGTTCAAGCTTTACCCCCTCAAGGGCCCTTTTCCCTCCACTGTGGGAACCTCCCTGTGGAGGCAGGTAAGGTGCTGGTGACTACTCCATGCTGCTCTGTAGGTTGTGGCTTTATTGGGGGTGATTATCTGATGACTTCTTGCCTTCCCACCGGACTGTCAGCCCTACAGCAGGTAGTCTATTCTTTGTTGCCTCCCCAGCACTGCGTGCAGCACCTGGCCCATGCAGACATTTGAGTAAATGTGTTCAACAAATAGATGAAAGCACAAGAAGCAGCAGCTTCTATTGTTACTGCTATAATGGGCGCAAAGCTGAAAAGGCGTAATTGAAAGTATGACTTCTGTACAGAAGAAAGCCTTTTAATGCATAGCTTAACACACAGTTCAACAAATTCAGTCAGTTCAAATTAACTTCAACATATTACAAAGAACTAAGAAGCCTGCAGGGGCCACCACTTTGGGGAGGGGGGGTGGGGAGGCAAATTGCTGCCCAGAATGGAAGGATACTGACCTCAAGGAGGCCCCTCTCCCCATCCCAAGAGTTGTGGCCATAACCATCAGGCTCTTGCAATAGCTTAGGTACCTCCATGCAGAAGGCAGCAGCACAGAGTCGAGGGCAGAGCCATCTAGGGATCACAGCTCTGCCTTCTCACCAGAGCAGGGCCTGGAAAAAAGGCACTGGGGCTGACACAGAATTCTGTGCCCAAGACAGGGTGGGGACAGCAGCTGCAGCACTGGAGAACCAGCTCAACAGGCCGCTTTGGGTGTAGGTGGGCCAGGGATTTTAGCTTCTCCCCCACCTCTACCCAGGAGCTCAGTTCAGATTAACTGCAGAGAGGTGAGGTCTGATGCAGCTACAAAGGCAGTATTCAATCTGCAGCACACTTGGGGCAGGGACAAAGCCAAATGCTTTGCTGTTGAGGACTGCTTGTCTGATATGCTAACTGATGCAGCAGGGTGGGAACAGGGCTCTAGCTTCACACTCAGCTCTAGCAAGGACCTTTGTGGTGAAACCATGTCTGTGCTTGACTATGCTGGCTTAACTTGAACAAGCAAAGCCTCTCAAAGGTGGAGGCCACTGCTGTCGGAGGGGCTGAGGAGGGTATTTCAAAGCTCCCTGTGGGGCATGCTAGGTTTCGGGGGTGGCTGCAGGGGAGGACACCCCTGGCTTCTCTGGGAAGGGCAGACGAAAGGTTCCTGCTGCCCTTTAAGGTTTTATTTCAGTTTCTGGTTAACTTCCTGCCGTAACTTCTGTGCAGGGCCATTCCTGGGCTCAATTTGTAGGAGGCTGCTGATGTCTGCAAGGCTGGATTTATAGTCCTAATGGGGAATAAGAAAAGTGTGGGGAAGGGACCTGGATGAGATGAAATTCAAATGGAATGGGGTCAGCTGCTGAGGCAACAGTGTCTTGAAACCCAGCCTCTAACTGCCCTGAGCGACCCTGGGCCTTGGAGGAGAAGAAACTTGGCAGGAACCCGCTTACCTCACCTGTACCCTGAATGAATAATGGCATAAACCCCTGCAGCTATGTTGGTACCTTGGGCAGGCCCTTTTACCTTGAGTGACTTGTAGGCTTGAGCCCGTCTGTACAGTGCTTTCACATTCTTGCCGTCCAGCTTGAGGGCTTCTGTGCAGTCCTTCACTGCCTCCTTGTCCTGATTCAGGACCAGATGACAGAGTGCTCTGAGGGGAAAGACCATCGCAGAGGTTTAGTCACTTCTGTGGGTCCCTGCAAGCCAGGAGGTAGGTGAGGAGTGACCTCTGGATTGTTGAGCCTACTCTGTGCTGACTGTAGCTTCTTCAATCCTACTCCCTTTTTACAGATAAAAAAACAAAAAAAGCTTTTACAGCTGGTTCAGAGGGGGTGAAGAGAGTTGCCCAAGGTGCCACTGCTACTAAGGACCAGACCCAGTTCAAACCAAGTGAATCTGAACAACTCCAGACTCCATCTGGTTCTGTTACTGTGTCTGCTCCACTCTCCTCAATCAGGGAAAAGTCAAGTCAGCCTGAAACCTTCCCCTTTACAGATTAAAAATATTTACCGTTTGAGAAAACACATAAATACTAATCAATAATAAGCTGACATGTAAGTGTGAATATAATGAGATGGTGAATATAAGATGGCTAATAAAGCAAATATAACGAAATACTGTAGTATATGGATGGTAGGTATATGGGTGTTCAGTATTTTTCCCTGACAAACTCTAGAATCATCATGAATTAAAAAAGCAGGAACAACCAAACAGGAAAAACTTGGGCTGAGGATACAGCTTAGTAGTAGGATGATTGACTAGCATGTACAAGGCTCTGGGTCTACCCCTAGCATTGCAAAAAACAAAAACCTAAACCCCACCCTACCCCCCGAAAAAGGAAAAAAATCTAGTATTTTGGTGATTTCATAGAATATATAAAATTAAAGAAAAACCTTCCTGTAGCAATTTAAAGACAGGTGTAAGCCAGGTATGGTGGTGCATGCTAGTAATCCCAGTGGCTGAGGAGGCTGAGGCATGCAGATCTCAAGTTCAAAGCCAGCCTCAGCAGCTTAGCAAGGTCCTAAGCAACTTTGCAAAACCCTGTCTCAAAATAAAAAATGGGCTGAGGATGTGGCTCAGTGGTGCCCCTGGGTTCAATTCCTGGTACCAAATAAAATAAAAAATAAATATAGGTACTAATTTACTGGCACTCTTCTTATTGAGAGGAGGCTGTGTTTGTGACTCTGTTCTCTCCCCTTGAATTCAGGCAGGTTCTGTGACTGTGCTGACCAAGAGGAGGGAAGAGAAAGGGATATGATGCAACTTTCAAGGCCAGGTCATAAAGGCCTTGTTGGTTCTGCTTTGGGTCTCTGAGAACACGTACTCATGAAGACTTGAGCTGCTAACTACTCTGAGGCCACCAAGCTATGAGTAGGCCAAGCCAGCGAATAGGGAAAAGGGGCCATGAGAGACGAAAAGGTGCCAGCTTGCTCTAGGAATCCTTTTTTTTAGCCACTGAGCCATCTCCTACCTTTTTTGATTTTGAGACACAGTCTCACTATGTTGGAATAGAACCCAGAGCCTTATACATGCTATGTCAGTGTTGCTAGGCCCTGCTAAGTTGCTGAGGCTCAGCCTCCCAAGTTGCTGGGACTACAGGCATGCACTGCCATGCCCAGCATTTGCTGTAGCAATTCTGTCCCCTAGCCACATGTCATTCCAGTGGGTGGCACACATGTAATGACTCTAAGCCCCAACTACCATCTTGTTGACCCTGAATGAAAGACCCCAACTGAGAACCAAGTGAATCTGAACAACTGAATTCCCCATACTACTAAAGAAATGGGTTGTTATAAATTATTAAGTTTTAGAATAGTAGTCCCTGGGCTGGAGATGTGGCTCAGCGGTAGCGCGCTCGCCTGGCATGCGTGCGGCCCGGGTTCGATCCCCAGCACCACATACCAACAAAGATGTTGTGTCCGCCGAGAACTGAAAAATAAATATTAAAAAAAAAAAAAAAAAAAGAATAGTAGTCCCTGATTTAAACTTTGAACACAGAGCAATTCTAGGGAAACTAAGGTTTTCTCCCAATGGGCTCTGGCAATTTAAAGAATTAACCAAGTTTTGGGAAAGTAGAAGAATCAAAGCATATAAACATTATGTACTGAATAGTGACTTCAGAATATAAATATTAAGATGAATGTAATTATATATGACATCTAAAAATTTTATTTAAGATGATAAAAGTGACTTTGGCCTATAAAACAAAGACCTTTAATTTTTGGAAAGTGGAATGATTTTGTATCCAGTTAAAAGGGGTTAAATTACAAACGAGTCTGGAATATAACATGAGTGAGTAAAAAGGAACATAAGTTTGGGATCACAAGGATCTGGCTTGCGGCTGGCGGTGTGGCTAGCATTTGCACAAAGTCCTGGGTTCTATCCCCAACACTGCAAAAACAAAACAAAACAAAAACAAGACCTGTGCTGCCACGTATAAGCTATTTACCTTTATGCTCATTAATTCATCTTTCTTAGCCAATCTGGGTAACATGAGACTATGACATAAACCAAACTACTGTTTTGAATACTAAATAATTCTCATAGGGAAGGGTCATTCCATATAGCAAGTTATAGATGCTGGGTACCAAGTGACGGTGTGCATTCAAGTCTCATTAGCACAAAGAGTAAGTGGAGGACTAGGCACTGTTCCACACAGATGCATATGCATGAGTGGGCCATTACAACTGCATCCAGGATGTGCTAAGCTTTCAGTCACAATGGATGAAAATTCAGTTTTGTAATTAGTCCTCTAAATTAAGTTTATAAATTCAATGCAGTCACAACCAAAAACTGTTCAACAAAACAATTTTTGGAATTTGTCAACATGATCCTAATGCTTAACTGGAACAACAGGTGTAGGAGAACTGCCAGGGATACCTCAATTAAGAATAATGGGGAAGGGGCTGGGGCTGGGGCTGAAGCTCAGTGAAAGAGTGCTTGCCTGGCATGTGTGAGGCACTACATATAAATAAACAAAATAAAGGCATGCTATCCATCTGCAGCTACCAAAAAAAAAAAAAAAAAAGATGGGGCAAAGATCAGCTTTACAAGACATTGAAAAGCAAGAGCAATTAAAACAGCATGGCACAGATACATTTGCCTAGAGAACGGTATTTAAGCCAGACTTAGCGGTGCATGCCTATAATCCCAGTAACTTGGGAGGCTGAACTAGGAAGGAAGATCACAAGTTCAAGGCTGAGGCAATTTAGCAAGGTGAGACCCAGTCTCAAAAAATTAAAAGAGGAGGGGATGTCGTCCAGTGGTGTTCAATTCCCAATAACAAACAAACAAAAAACAGTAAGCAAAACAAAGTACTATCCCAGATATTTCCACAAATATGAAGTGAATGGGCTACAGGCTTCCTTTTTAAGTTAGCCTGGCAAACTGAGGCACCCCCGGTCCAGAGAGTAAAATCACAGGGTTCAAAATCCCAGTCCAAGCTTTGTCTTTTCAACTCTTTTGGCAACAAAACCACCAGACCTGGAACTGATATGAGACTACTTAGTTTCTGCCATCCCATGTGAATATGGAATTTTCATATTTCACTGAAGAAAAACTAATAATTTCAGTAAGCTGCCCCATTCCCTCCTGGGTTTTACATAATTCAGTATATGGACTGTATTACCTTACTAAAATCTAAAACACATTTTATTCCAAGAGTTTTGAATAAGGAATAGTAAACCTGCATCAGATTAAAGATAAGTGAACACAAGAGTGATAAGTACATGTTGGTAGGAAAGGAGAAACAGACTTGTAACATTTTATAATCAATATTTGGATCAGATACAGTCCTTGATGACTGTCAAGTTTCTGACAGAATAACAACAGATCTCACTGGAGCCAGACTCCAATTCTGGCATCACTGTTTATGGGCCTTCTGAGCTTTGGTTTTCTCAACTCCAAAACAGGAAGACCTCCTATCACCTGTATCTGTACCTCCAAGCACTACTGTAAAGCAGTGAGTCCCATACAATAAAGGGATGATATTCTGGCTCCAAGGCCCTCACTGCTAGTGGTCACTGATAGCAGCTCCTCCCAAAGAACCTTCCACCCCAAAAATCTAATATCTCTGGCTGGACTGTGACCCTCCTATTCCCAGGCCAGACAATCATTATTCTACTCCCTAGGCTCTGGACCAGTTCTCTGATAGGAACTGCCAATATTTTGGGGTCTTGGAGAAGTCATGGGGTAAGGGAACAAGAGGAAGGTGGTGGAGAGGCAAAGACTCATTTTGAAGATGTTTTCAGTAAGCACGTGGCTTTTACTTTACTGTATGCTTACTTGGGGTGATAAATGAAAATTTTGGGGAGTGGGTCTAACAAAGCCCAGGCTACTCTTTGGTATCCCTTAATTTCTACCCCTATGAGAGGGCAAATGCCACTGGCAATGCCTAGCTCACAGTGCCTGTAACTGGTATGAACATGTTTTGAGTTGTAACATATGTCTAAACGCTAGGGACTGAAGAACCTACCACAGTTGGAGAGAAGACTATGGAACAAATTATCCAATGTTCTGAAATCCCCCAGGCCAGCAGCTGTGTAGAAGATACCTGTTGCTGTACGTGGTAGATTCCAGGTTACTAAACAAGAGGCTTTCATTGTACTTCTCAATAGCTTTCTTATGGTTGCCCTTCTTTACAAGCTCATTGCCTTCTTCCTTCAGAACTCTGGCTCTCTCCACATCCCCAGCAGAAGGCACTAGATACAAATTCAGAAGAGGAAAAAACCATAGAGCAGGTGCCAAATGAGATCAATGAGATCTCTTCAGTATCATCTCTTCAAAGTTGTCTATAATCCTCTCTCCCCCAGAGACTGCCTATACCATTGCAAATCCTCCTTCCTGATTAATGGTTTCTGAGAATTTAACACTTTTCATTCAGAAAAGGTTGGAGACTCCTGTTATAAACATATTACTACACACACATGATAAAAAAACAACCCAGGTTCTAGTCTTGGCACTGCCACTTGGTACTTGGAATCCATCTTGCGTGACCACTGAACTTTTGGACTTCAATTTCCTCACCAACACATGTAGAAGAATAAGTATTAATAAACAAGCATCTAGTGAAGAAAGCCTATAAAGTTTAAGGCCAGCCTCAACAACTTAGCAAGAATCTGTCTTAAAAATTTCAAAAAAGGGCTTGTGATGTAGTTCAGTGCCCCTAGCTTCAATCCCCAGTACTGCAAAAAGGCTATAGTTTCTGGATTTTCAGAAAAGTGGTGAAGACCAGGCACTTCCTGTTTTGGTCTGACCTGCACTTCCTGTTTTGATCTAACCTGTGAGTATTCTCCCTCACCTTACACATTCATCTCTGCTCCAACCTTCAAGAGCAGATAACAAAGTTATAACCCAAAGCTGCTCATGCTGGTGTGGTCAAGCCCCTTTACTGCTTGGCTCTAGTTAATTGTTCTGGCCTCTGTTCTACATCACTTGCTTCTTTAATCTTTAAAAATTGCCTTTAAAAAACAATATTTATGGGCTGGAGTTGTAGCTCAGTGGTAGAGTGCTTGTCTTGTATGAGTAAGGTGTGGGGTTCAATCCTCAGTACCATATACAAATAAATAAAGGTATTGTGCCCATCTACAATATTTGTAACAAGGGCAAGATTATAGGAACAAATCAATTCTGGAACTCTCCCCCTGCTTAAGAAACAGAACACACTAGGATCTTTAAGGTCCTGTAGGCCCTTCCCCAACTCAACCCACTCCTAGAGGAAACTATTATCCCCATTCTGTGCTTTCTCTGTTTTTTTTTTTAATATTTATTTTTTAGTTTTTTTCAGCGGACACAACATCTTTGTTTGTATGTGGTGCTGAGGATCAAACCCGGGCCACGCGCATGCCAGACGAGCGCGCTACCGCTTGAGCCACATCCCCAACCCTCTCTGGTTTTGTTTTTAAAGTATAGTTTACCTATATACAATAAACCATTTGTTGTTTACTTTGATTCTGAACTTCATAAATCTATGTATATGATTTGGTTTTCTTTTTCCCCTCTCAGCATTATATTCCTAAGATAATTTGTGTTGATTCATGAAGCTATAGTTCATTCACTTTCATGGCTGCAATATCACACAGATCTATCCATTCTCTTAACTGTAGAGATGTGAGATGTTTCCAGTTTTGTTTTTACTATTATATTCATTCTGCTATGATCATTTCTGTCCTTGTTATGTGTGCACGAGTTCCTCTAGAAGTAAACCAATGGGCTGCAATACATGCACAGCTCCAGGTATTCCTGGGCCCTGCAACACAACCCTTACCTTCAATCATAACTCATTCCTACTGTTCACTTTGTGCACTTTTACTTTCCAACTCTTTCCACTGTCTCTGCCAAGAATTCTGCTCCCTTCTAACCTCACCTCATTTTTCCAGGTCCAGCTGAAATGATCGTCCCCATCACCATCTCCTCTGTGAGCCTTTCCCCGATTCCAGCAAGCACTCGTAAGCCAGCTCTTAAAACAAACTTTTTGAACACTAAAGACTTGTATTTTAAAATTTTCTGCTTAAGTGTCTCAGGTCCTCAACAGACCAAGAACTTCCTGAGAGCCACGGCTGCCTCTGTCTTCTGTATCACACTGCTTAACATAAAATAAATCATAGGTGCTCTGAATTTATCTAGTTATTAGCACCCTACATTTTTACTCCAGAGAAGAGTGGGGAACACTTACCAGGCTCCCACAAACCAGAATGAATGGTACCCATGGCCTGGAAAAAGAAATAATTTCTGCCCTCCCATAATAACTAAAGGTCACATGACAGGGCTTTAGCCTTGCTCCTTTTTGCACTTAGCTTGCTGGGCTAATTCCTTCGGTTTCCTGTAAGAGCTTTCCTGTGGAAAGTCTCCTGTTTGTGGCTACCTAGATTTCTATTTTTTTACTCATCCTTCTCCAGGATTCATACAGTGCATCCTCCTCTAGTTATGGAAGGAGCACAGATAGCTTGGGGCTGAACTAGTCACAAAAATCTCATCCTCTGGCCTATGATCAATTAGAACAGGGGGTGGCGGGAGAGAGAGACAAACACAGACAGACACAGACAGACCAATGCCTGACCAAGAGATTTTGGGGAAAATTTTCTTTTACTAGTGAATTATGGACACAAGGGACTTTCTTTCTTCCTCTAGGTCATGAGGCATGGTGCATAGCTGAAAGCTAGGAACTTGTACAGCAACTTTATCACTAGGAGGGGAGCCTGTCTGAAGTCAAAGCTGAAAAAACAACATAGAAGAGAGCAAAGTACTGAGAATTGAAGTCAAAGATTCTGGTAATGGCCTTGCATGGTGCCTGTAATCCAATGACTTGGGAGGCTGAGGCAGAAGGTCTGCAAGTTTAAGTCCAGCCTCAGATACTCAGTAAGAACCTGTCTCAAAATTAAAAATAAAAAGGGCTGTGGATGTAGCTAGTGGTAAAGCATCCCTGGGTTTAATCTCTAGTACTGGGTGTGGAGGAAGTAGTGAATTGCTGTGGCAAACATCTCCTGAGCTTTTCAGCTATATGAGCCAATAAATTCATTTCACTGTTTTAATATTCTTGTAATCAAAAACATCCTCAGTGACACATCTCAATGCTGCCAGAGGACTGGGAGCCAATACTATATGCCCATGTGCCAGGCTAGAGCCTGGCCCGCCCCACAGTTTCATCCTTAAGGCTATGAGGTAGCTGCATTGCCACCTCACAGCACAACTCAGGAGATGATATTTAAGAAGTTGAAACTTTTTCATTTTGTTCTGTTTTAAACTTTGTTTACAAGATTATTTTTTATAACCCAGCTAAACAAGGCCAATTTTTATACAACTACTCTAAAGAAAGGGTCTAAGACTCTCTTGACAGGAGATGGTCACAGCTTACCTCTGCTCTTTGTAGTTTCTTTGGATTTTTTGGTTGACTCTTTGTTTTCTGAAGGCAAGGAATTCCACCTCTTCTGGGCTGAGACAGGTACCACAGGGATAGAGGGCAACTTCAGGCGCCACTCAGGCCCAAGTGAATCCATGAGAGCTCTGGTCATTCTGGAAGGGAAGGCAGGATCGCAGAGAGGTTTTCAGCCAGTTCAAGAAGAGAGTCCTCCTTTTGCACACCCAAGGGAAGTAGGCCCTTTCAGAAAAGCCAGTTATGATCCTCTCCCTGGTCTGAACCATTTGTTTATATCCTCTGACACACTGCCGAAGAGGACAGGAGTCTGCCACCTACAGACACCTTATCAGTTCAGCCACTGTGACACTCCTTCCCTTGCGCTTGGCCGCATTATGTTAACTTTAAAGCGGTGATCTGTTGCTTGTTGAGGATACTTAAGCTCTGTCCCCAAAACATTATACACTCCCCAAGGAAAGATTCTGTTTTATGTTTTCTCAAAGAATCTAGTACAAAGGCATGCAAGCACCTGACAATGCTCAGAGATTTTTCTAAAATGCATTTTTTTTTTTAATGGTGCTGGGGATTGAACCCAGGGATTTATGCATGTGAGGCAAGCACTCTACCAACTGAGCTATATCCCCAGCCCTAAAATGCAAATCTTAAGTCATTCTCCAACCTTAAAGCTTCTCAGGGTTCCCATTTCCCTAAGTTAACATGCATCCCCTTTTCCACTTTTATTTTATTACTCCCTCCTAATCCTTATGTTTATTTTTTCTTTACCTGGAACAATTTCTCCCATTTTCCATTCCCACCTTCTAGGTCCAGCTAAGTCCTACTTATTAGGCTCTCAGCTTAACATGCTACTCTATGACCATGTCCATTTTGTTAACTGATCTCCAGCACCTAGCACATCACCTGGCACCCACTAAGGTCTAATAAGTATGTGATGAATAGTCATATACTTCTGCTCTTACAGCCATGTTCCTGGGTTACAAGGATAAAAATCACACAGACTGATCTTACTACAAATTAATGATCTCCAACGAGGTTACAAAGCTGATTAACTTAACTATATCAAATCTCTTAAGCTGTTTTCTAACCTTTCTCTTTTTTCAAAGCAAACTTTCTCATACCCCAAATATAAACCTCCCTGCCAGGGACTCAATCCTTCCTCTCTCTCCTGTCACAATAGAGGAGACAACAGATGGGATGGACCCCATCTCCTGCCTCTCAAGCAGCATCTCCCTTGCCTTTATCTGCATTCTTTCTCTTTACTGATTCTAACTGTCTGCATTTAGGTGCCTTTAAGTCTTTGTTCACTAAATAAAATCCTCCTACCCATCTACCATCCCAGCTATACCCCCCTGCTTTTTTTCACGTCAGATTTTCTGCACTCTCTGCCATCTGGCTTCTGACCCCACTGAATGGCATCCACCAGCATCACTAGTGACTATACCTTTAGCTGACTTAAGCTTCTTGGAATACGGGACATTAATGACATCTCCATCCCTTCTTAAAATACTCCTTCACTGTGGCAACTAAATGCCCCACATTTTCTTCCACTTCTCTTCGCAAGTCCCCAAATGCTGGAGTTTTTCAAAGTTCCATCTTCTTCCCACTACATACTGGCTGTGGTGTTATTATTTTTTTTTCCTCCCACATCTTCAACCTCTGTGTTGATCACCCTCAAATTTCTATGTCTTGCCTACTTTTCTCTTTTGCTCCAAACCAACGTAAACAGCCTTCCTTACATCACAGTTACCTCCACGGCAACAGGCCAACAACCTAGATGTTCTCTGTTGTTCTTCCCTTCTCAACACCCCCATTTGCTAAGACTATTAAGATCCTAAGTGTCCTCTGTTGTGCCACTCTTCTCTCTACTATCTCTCCCTTCTCCTGGACTGCTGCATGCTCCCTTCCTACTTTGTTCCTTCATGTCATCACTCAACAATAAGCTTTTCTACAAAACACAAGTCTGTTCACGTTGCTTCATGGCTAAAAACCTTCTTAAGATGTCTCACTCACTCAGGATTAAGTCCCAGCCCCATGCACCAGGCCCTGTGTGACCTGGCCTCACTAATTCATCCCAAGATGAATTTCCCATCTACTGCACCATGTGGAATGGACGTTTTATAATTCCTATAATATGTTGGGCTCACTCACCCTTGTACATGCTGCCCTTCTGCCTTGCTGACCCTCTACTCCAGATCTCTTCTGTCAAAGTCTTTGCTCACCTCCCCTGAAAAGCCTTCTCTGGCCTCCTTCCTCCTAGTTGGTGAGAGGCCTCCTTTCTGTCCTAAGAACCCTCTGTGCTGCCTCCTACTGTGTGACTTAGCACAATGTACTGAGGGTGACTATTACTGATGTCTTCTTGAGACCAGCAGCCCTAGGAGGACAGGAAAAGTTAAGTCTTGGTCAGCAGCCCAGGTTCTAGTGTGAAGTCTAATATTTTGTTGAGTGATAGAAATTAAAAGGAGGCAAACAGAAAACACAGGATGCTGACAAAAGTCAAGCAAGAAATAAAACACTTAACGTGTACTAGGAAGTCAAGGGTTTGCTATTTTTTTTTTTTTTTTTTTTGGTTTTCTAGCAGCCCTCATAGGAGAAACATAATCAGTTATACAAATGAGGGTATTTATGAGATAAAAAACAAATATGGCTCAGGAGACCAGGAAGACATTTCACCTGAGGAGCTTCATGGAGGGGTCATAATATAATATCGTAAACTACATCCACAAACAAAATCCCTACAGGCTGAGTCCTGGTTGTATATGCTTGTGCCTTACTTTCCCAGTTAGAGTTAGCACTCTGAGGACAAATGGGATCCAAATCTCTTTTTTTACTTCCCCTCATGGAATCTGGCACAATACCTTAAAGAGTTCAATAACCGTTACTGTGTGAATGAACTTGCACATCCAGACAAAAATCAGTCAATCTCAATGATTCTGACTCCTTAAATACCTGCTAAAACAACAGTAGATTCTCCTTCTACATTTCATTTAACCCACATGCTCCTTAGGAAATTTCTAAGTATAGACAGACCTTGCCCAGAAGACAACTGAAGCAATGGCCAAAAGCCAATCAAGGAGGACAGGAAATTCCCATGGAGAAATCCTACAGTGAATGTGAATCACCTGTTGATGCCTTCCAGGGCTGACGCCACACTGTTATCAATTTGCAGTACAGTCTTGTAGTCGACATAGGCCAGAGGATACTTCTCTAGGGCCTCATAGGCAGATGCTCGCCGCAGCAGAGGCTTCATGCTGAAGGGAACCAAGGCCAGTGCTCTAGAACAGGGGGCAAAAATATCATCTGCCTGATGTACTACCAGGGCTCTCGAACAGATCTTTCAGTCGGGGTCATCTGCAGCACTCAGTATACTGAAGAATGCTTAACCATAAATAAAGACTTTTAAAGCTGGATTGAAGTAAGGAGGGGAAGAGGGCAAAAATCAATACTGTGAAATTTGTGTGCATGTATGTCAATTTTCATAGCTTCAATCCCCCCAAAATTAAGAACTAAAGATTTGCAGCTTTCATGCTAACATGTTTCTAGACTGTGGCCTAGTGGTAATACCAAAAGGCTCTGCAGTCAGCTGGGATGGTATTTGGATTCCACCTCTGCCACTATGTAATCTTAGGCAAATCACTATTTCTCCAACTCTCTGCAACTCAGTTCTGGACTGAGAAGGATGATAAACACCAGAGTGATCTGAGCACTCAAAGAGGAAAACCTACTACAGACCCTAGGAGCATGCTCATGTCTCTGCTCCTGTCTACCATCCCTGCACAAATCTAAGGCAATATCACAGGATATCAGATCTGAGAACACATTTAGCTATGTGCTATTGTAGCTATGATGAAATAAAGCAATATTAGACTGGCCTGGAGAGGAAGAGGTATGAAAAATTGTTCAATATCTTTTACAACTGTTCACTGATAAAGACCCATTTCCTTCTCTCTCCTTGGTTCTTTATAAACAATCTGTTAACCTGTTTTCTATCTTTCTTTCTTTTCTTCCCTTTCACCTACACCCATCCCAGAAAATCACCTGGACAAGCAAGTCATAGGTCTGCAACCTTACCTCTCCCCAGATATCAAGTCTCATAAAGGCTGCAAAGCCTATGTCCAGCTGCCCACCCTACTTCTTTTTGAGCAGAAGAGCTGACTCCAAAGATACAAGTCAGGTGCCACAAGGATGGAGCCTCTCATTTTCAGTGGCCTGGTGTCACTTAGTGACACTTCCAAATAACTTGTCACAGATGTGACTGGTGGTATCCTTTTGAAGAAGAAAATAAGCCAGATACACCTGATCTCCTCTTCCAAAACCCTCAGGCATCCCAATGTTACCCTGGGCCACTTACGAAGTGCAGTCTTTGATGCAGTCTGTGCAGTTTCCATCCTTTAAGTGGCATGCTGCTCGGTTGGAGTACAGAACACTCTCTTCTTCAGGGTCTGAAGAACCTACCCAGATGGAGGCAGGAACAGAAAGAATATCATCAGAAATGCATGTCTCTGGACACTGGGACTCATTTCATACCTGGGCTCTCTAGGCTTTGGGAAAGGCAGCAGAGATGACTATAACCTGATCAGGCTTGTCTGTCAGATGGAACAGCATTTCTGACATTTTTACATAACAGTGGGGACACAGAGCTTTATGCCATTCACAGGGAACCAACTAGCTCCTCCTTCATTCATTCTAGTACTGAACTTGATAGTAGGTGAAAGATAAATATGAAACAGCCGGTTCCTGCTTCAAAAAAATAATAAAAAAAAAAGCTGTAACTACGTGAGGATGTGTATCTTAACTTATTATAGAAAGCATGTGAACCCAATAGAAGGGGGGAAAAAGGAAAAGAACAATATGAGAAATGCCCGATAAGTAGAGTAACCAAAGAAGTGTAAGGAATATATCACCAGTGAAACTTCACATTATGTACAACCACAAGAATGGGATCTAATTAGAATAAGTTATACTCTATGTATGTATAATATGTCAAAATACACTCTACTGTCATATATATCCAGAAAGAAAATTAAAAAAAAAAAGTTGTAGGGACATGAAAGCAGTTTTACCTGGTCAAGTCAGAGAGGACTTTGCCTGGTAAGTGAAAACTAAGTTGGAATGCCAGGACTTCAGAGAACTCAACCAGGAGGACTCAAGTTACCCATCAGGGAGAGCATTACTAGTCATTTCTCTAATGGCAGTCCTACCCATAAGCACACAGATCATGTCCCTTCCCATGGCTACAATGATTTCCACATTTAAATATAATTTTCAACCCCTTCATACCCATTAGCGTGGGCCATAATTAAACAAACAGACAGACAACAAAAACCCAGAAAACAAGCTGGGCATGGTGGTACACGCCTGTAATCCCAGCAGCTTGGGAGGCTGAGGCAGGAGGATCTCTAGTTCAAAGCCAGCCTCAGCAAAAGTGAGGTGCTAAGCAACTCAGTGAGACCCTGTCTCTAAATAAAATACAAAACAGGGCTGGGGATGTGGCTCAATGGTCGAGTTCAATCCCTGGTCCCCCTCATCCCCTCCAAAAAACCAAGAAAAACAGTGAAAATAATGGTTGCCTCAGTAACTCCACTTCTAGATATATATCTAGAAGGAGAGAAAACAGACTCCTTTAAAAATTTTGAAACATTCAGAAAATCATTTAAAATACTCATATCCACTGCTTTATTTAACAAAATTATGGTTCCAACCTTTTTATTTTTGAGATGGCTAATGTTCTACCCATCCTCATCCTTATCCCTGTGTTCCCTCCCCCAGAGGCTGGCACGATTCTGAAGCTGGTATCTAAATTTTCAAGTATTACTTTTATTATGTTTTCATAGTTAAGATACAATATTGTTTCGTGTCCACTGAAGCATTCCCTAAGTGGTATTTTATAGCCTCTCCTCCTGAAGCTTATTTCTTTCACTAAGAATCACGATACTATGTTAGTACCTGAATTTTTCACTCAATACCAACAATAACAAACATAATTAATAGCCAATTTTTTTCTTTTTTACTTTGGCAGGCCTCAGATAGTGCAGGAATGTTATGGTTTAGATATGTGATGTCCCCTAAAAGCTCATGGGTGAGACAATGCAAGGTGGTTTAAGGGTGAAATGAGTGGGTAATGAGAATCCTAACCAAATCAGTGCATTAATCCCCTGGTAGGGATGAACTGGATGGTAACTGTAGGTAGATAGGGTGTAGCAGGAGGAGGTAGGTCCCTGGGGGCATGCCTTTGGGGTCTGTATTTTGTCCATGGGGAATAGAACTCTGCTTCCTGGTAATATATTCCCAGTTGCCTTTCTCTGACTCACACTTCTGCCATGATGTTCTAGCTCATCCCAGGCTCTGAGGAATGGAGTTGGCCATCTATGGACTAAAACCTCTGAAATCATGAGCCCCCATATAAACTTTCCCACCTAAAATTATTCTTGTCAGATTTGTTAGTTACAACAGCAAAAAAGTTGACTAAAACAAAGGATAAGTAAAATACATCCTGTACTTAAGGAGCAAGTACAAACACTTAAAACCTGTAATCCATCTCAAGTTACTCAGAAATAGCTTGGTGTGCTGGAAAGTGCATGAGAACCTAAAATCCAGGACTGGGAGGAGTGATAAAGAGCTTGCCTAGCATGTGTGGCCCCAGCCTCTCCCCCCACTTCTCCCCCACACATACAGCTGAGAAGAAACCACAATCTAGCTGTGACCCTATGCAAGTCATTCAACCCCTCAGATCTTGTGTGCTCACCTACCACATAAAGATATCACTTTACAGATTTGCTGCAAGGGTTCATTGTGTTAGGGTGCTCCCCGAGCTTCTTTCAGAATCAAGAAAACATCAGAAAAATGAAGGCAATTATCCACAAATTACCTAGAAAATTAGTAGCAGGAAGAGAACCAAACTTTGGTACCTGCTAAGTCTAAACTCCAGGCTAGCTAGGGTGTTATGGTGGGGGGGGGTGGGGCAGAAATATCAATATCTCAGATTCCTTAGCAACTTCCTCAAGTGAGGCTGACATGAGGAAATGGACCCAAAGAGAAGGCTTCCAGAAAAAAAAAAAAAAAAAGGGGGTTAAATAACTTGAAATTGTTGAAAGTTTCAACAAAATGTGGAATTTGGGAAGAAGTCTAGCTAAATGACTAAACATTTGGACTTAGCAATCAGACAGATTCATATTCAAATCCTGGCTCTGACATGTCCTCACTGTGTAACCCTAGGGTAGGCAATTTAATTTTTCTGGATTCTTCATCTATGGGTGTCTTATCATAGGGTCATAAAAAAGATAAACAAGATAATGTTTATTATGTTTAGCCCACAGTAAAGAATTCAATAAATGCTGGCTGAGAAAATGAGAAAAAGACAGGCAAAAGGAAATAGGTACTAAAAAGTGATTTACAGAGAATCCATCCAGGGCTGTCCTCAAAAATCAAAGCTTTAACAAATGGGGACTCCTGAATAAGATACTTTGGAGAAGCTGCTTTGTGCAAAGGTCTGTTGCTATGAACTCGAGGCCAAGAGAAGGGAATATGCTACTCCTCTGTTTAAAACTCTCCAATAGCTTTCCAGCAGGGAAAAAAACTCAAACTCCTAAGGATTAAAACAGCTTTACAACAAGGTTCTGCCTACCTCATGTCTTTCTTATTCCCTCCAGAGGCTCACTATACTTTAACTCTGAACACACCTTGCTTATTTTCTCTCGGGGCCTTTCTAATAGCTGTTTTCCTCCCCCTGGAATGTTCGGCACCCTAAACTTTGTGTGCTGGGCTTCTTATTCAGATATCACCTCAAGTATCTCTTCTTCAGAGTTGTCCTTGACAACTAAAGGAGTGCTTCAGTCAACGCTATCCATCATTTCCTCATGTCTTCTTTATGTTCCTGGGCAGCTCTAAAATCACCAGGGAGGAAAGAGGCTGGGCCATAAAGCTTACTGCTTCAGAAACATTTGGAGTCAATCAGTTGGGAAAATAGTTTGTATTCAAAGCCAGCTCCGAAGGAAGACAGAGCAAACTGAACTGTTTCAAAGGTTCTATCTCTGAAAGTCCTGAAGGTGGGCAGAATTTTTAAAGGAGAAAAGGCAGGGAAGTGACAAAAGACAAGAACTGTACGTATGTAGATTTCGTTAGTCTCCCCTAGACATCATCTTTAATGCCTTTCAGCTTTGGGTGGGAGTCCGCAGCCTCCYCTCTCATCAGGTGAAGGCTATTCCCAATTTCAGATGGAGGAGGCAGATTCAGTCTCTTCCATTCATAGCCCTCATTATCTCAGATGTCTCGTTAATTTCTTTAGGAGCTTAAGACCCCCTACCTCAATAACCCGTCTTTAATATAACAAATGCTCATCAAATATTCACTGAAAAATCAACAGCCGAGGGGTAAGCGGATTCAGTTGTATCCTCAGGGATCAGAATGAGGCCGGAAAACTTCAGATGAGAACCAAGAAGGTAGTTCAAGAGCAGGTGGAAAGGAAGAGCCAAGGAAGTTTCTCGTCGAATGCCAACGTCGGGAAGGGACCGGGAACTAACGGGAGGGCCCCGGGGGCCGGTCAGCCCCAGAAACACTGAATACAGTGAGGCCGGGACTGGTGGGGACTGGAGAAAGCGGGCCCGGAGGAGGAACCGGGGGGCGGGTTCATACCTCGCACCTGCAGCAACCGCAGCGCGCGGCAGTAGAGCGCGGAGGCCTCGGCGTACTGGCCGTTGCGGAAGCTCTGGTTGCCGGCGGCGCGGAGCCCCTCCACAGAGTCTGGGAGTTTGGGGGCCATCCCGGAGCCGGGCGGGCACACGAGGGCCGCCTCGGTTTCCCCCTGAGTGATGCGAAACGGCGTCCGGGCGGAAGCACCGGCTGCGACTCTTTAGGTCCGGTAGCAAACCCGGCCACGAAGGGGCGCGGCCTTCGCCAACCCGAGACCCGTAGCGCCCCGCCCTCTGCGCGTGCTCAGTTTGGAACCTCTGTCTGCTTCGCGAGGTGGCTGGAGATTCCCCAACTGGCAGCTGGGGAATTGGGCGCTCTGGATGAGGCCAATAAGGAGGATGTCTGCTCTCAGGGCGCTTACGTTCTGGAGTGGCGTGACAAGCAGTTAAATCATGAGCAAGTGAAGACGCTAATTTCATAATGCGATTAGTGCTCTTTAGGATAATGCCATACAAAGTGACCACGTGGGCGCTATTTTAGATGCGGGGCAAGGGAAGGCATCTCTAGGCGAGTAATAATTAGGTTGAGACCTGAGAAGACTTAGGGAATGCTGTTCCAAAGGGGGAGCAAGTGCAACAGCCCTAAGGCTAGAAACAACCTCGCACCTCATACACTGTAGATACTGATTTAGTAAATAAATGCACAGGTTGAGGGGTGAAGACTTGGAACTGAAAGTGCCTAAGTTTATACTTCAAGCCTCATCTGATGTCCCTCTCTGTCCTTCTTGATTTTTGTAAAAAAAAAAAAAAATTTCTTTGCTACTGGCACACACTAAGTTCTTTCTCTTACTCCTAGCCTTTCCTTGTTATCCCCTTCTGGAATTCCTTTCCAAACACTTCTACCTAATCCTGAATCAATTTAGAATTTCCAACTCAAACATCATCTTCCATTCCTGCCCCTGCCCCATGTCACTCCTCAGCCATTGGTCCTTAGGTTTATCCTTATTTTATCATTTATCAGTCCCTGAGTGCCAGTAGAGTTTTCCTCAAACACTGAGGTCTTTGAAGGCAGGAATAGGTCCTCTTCATTTTTGTCTAAGACTTAATAGGATCTGGCACCTAGCATGAATGTCTCTTGGCAAAATTCACATATTTAAATCCTTTCTAACCCCTAGGGTGGTGGTATTAGGAGGTATTAGGCCCTTTGGAAGGTAATTAGATTGTGGAGGCATAGCCATCATGAATAGAATCAGTGTCTTAGGGGCCTCCTAGCTACTTCTACCATATGAGGACACAGCAAAAAAGGAGTCTCTATGAACCAGAAAGAGGTCCCTAACCAGACACTGCATCAACCGGTGCTTTGAACTTGGGTTTCTAGCTTCCAGAAATGTGAGAAATAAATTTATCATTTATAAGCTTCTCATTTATGGTATTTTGTTAACAGTAGCCCAAACAGAGCAAGACAACCTGAGTTGAGAATTATTCAGAATTGTAAATTGACAAATTATGATGATATTTACACTTTCATCCCCCAAATTGTTTTCAGCCTTTTAATTGTTTTGTTTTTTGGAATTGAGGATTGGACCAGAGGTGCTCTACCACAGAGCTACATCCCATCTCCAGTCATTTTAAAAAATATTTTTATTTTTAAAATATTTTTTAGTTGTAGATGAACACAATACCTTTATTTATTTATTTTTTATTGTGGTGCTGGGGATCGAACCCAGTTGTCTCATGTGTGATAGGGAAGTGCTCTACCACTGAGCCACAACCCCAGCCACAAAAATTTTTATTTTGGAGAGTCTCACTAAGGGTCTCACTAAATTGTTGAGGCTGGCTTTGAATTTGTGATCCTCGTATCTCTGCCTCCTGAGTAGTGGTAATTACAGATGTGCACTACCACACTGGGCAGCCTCATGGTTTTGAATCAACATATAAAAGTATTGGCTGAGCCTGGATTGTGCAAATAAAGACATATCCTAATTCTAACACATTTTTACTTGCCAATATTCTCTCAATCAAGGAAGGCAGAGATAACTGTTTAAAGAAAATACCAGTTAATAGTGGGAAAAAGTGTTTAAATGAAACAAATTCTATAAATAATTGTCCAATAACACCTGTATATATTAGCCTACTAAGACTACAGTTACATGCCTATTCCTTCCCTAGTAGAGCTGCATACATAATGTGGCCTTGATGAAATGGTTAACTCTGAGTTGAAAATCTGTCAGCTGCCATTGTAATCCCAGTGATTTGGGAGACCAAGGCAGGAAGGTCACAAGTTTGAGGATACCCTGGGCAATTTAGGGAGATTTTGTCTCAAACTAAAAAGGATTCAAGATGTAATTTAGTGGTAGAGTACCCCCCCCCACTTCAATCCCCAGTATGGGAGAGGAAGTCACCTGCTAAAAAGTCACAACCCAAAGGTATGTCAGCTGATAAATAAAAAAGACACGCAAAAATGTATGCAATGGAATAAACCTACTGTGATTGGCTGAGGTTTGCTATTTAGATTTAAATAAAATTTAAAATTCGTTTTGTCATTCACATTAATCGGATAAGACTAATGGCTACCATTTTGGACAGCACATATACAGAACATTTTCATTACTGCAGAAATATTTACTGGGCACTACTGGGCTGAATCTGTGGAAAGAGGCCATCACATCAGTCCATCACAAAAAATCCTAGGAAGAGAACAGAGGAGGGATGTTTTCCATTGTGTATCAGCTGAGACTAGAGTTCAACTAGTGAAGAAGTAGAAGACCACAAATACCTCCAAGGATACTTGGAGCAGCGACTCTCCAAAATGTGTAGAACTTGGCCTGTTAGGAACCTACAGTTTTGCTGGGTGTGGCGGCCCAGCCAGTAATCCCAGCTACTTGGAAGGCTGAGGCAGGAGGGTCACAAGGAGATAGCCTGCGCAATTTTGCGAGAACCTCTCCCAGAAGAACTGAGGATGTAGCTCAATGGTAGAGGACCCCTGGGTCCAGTACCGTTACCGGCTCAAAAAAAAAAAAAATCAACAGTCCTTATGGAGTCTGTGCTTCGCTAGAAACCGCAGTATCTGCTTCTGAAAAATGGGGAAACTCTGGAGCAGAGATGGGTTCCCAGCCCGGGGAATCCACAGAGACTTCGGCGAAGCGTGACGCACCCACACTGCGGCCTCCACACACCCGGGCCCACTGAGCACTCCGCCGCTAGGAGTCTCCGCGGCTCACCCGGGTCAGCACCACGTGACGCACTCCCGCACCACGTGATCCAGAAGCAATTCCCCGCGGCTCCGCCCAGCCCGCGAGCCTCACGCCGCTTCCGGTAGAGGCAGAAAGCGGAAGTGTGGGAGGGTCTGCGGGGCGGGCTCGGGGAGGTCCGGGGGAGGATGGAGCAGTGAGCGGGGCTGGGCCGCTGCCGGCAGCGCCATGGAGACCGTGCAGCTGAGGAACCCGCCGCGCCGGTGAGGGGCCACTGGATGAGAGGACGGGCTTGGGGCGAGAGAGGGAAAGGCGGGAACTGGCTGAGGGGAGACACCTGTGAGGGAGCCCCGGGAGAGGGGAGGACCTGCGGCCGGGCGACTTGGCTGATGGGGCACCTGCCGAGGGAGGGGGACGTCTGGCGGGTGAAGGTCCCACAAAGCTGCTGAGCTCGTTAAACGCGGGGCTGGCTTGAGGAGGCGCTCGCGTTGGGGGTCGTGTCCTGAGGAACGTGGCGGCAAGTTGGGCAGACACCTGCCGAGGCCCGGGCTCCGGGCCCCGGGGCAAGGCTCTCGCCCAGGGAGCGCCGAGGCTGGGGGCTGCCGAGGCTGGCTGAGAGCCGGCGAGGGGCGTGTAAGTGACGCGGGGGGAAAGCGATGGACGTTTTAAGGGTCCTCAGTGCCACCTGAGGGGGGCGTGCAGTCGGGGGCAGGCGTTGCGCGGAAGAGCGGTGCCGCGGAGGCCGAAATTGCGCGAAAACCAGGTCGAGGTTCTGGCCGCGGAGAAGTTGATGGAGGGTAGCATTTAGGAGGCTGTTCTTGGTGGTGTGCCCACTGAGGGGTGCCCGGAGTGCCTTCCTCCTCTCCTCCACACCCTTCTCAGCCCCTCAAAACCCAACTTTGGGAGGTAGATAAGGAAATAAGATCTTTTCAGGCTGGGCAAGCTGGGGTCCCCCGAGTTAAGACACATGGACCCGGCGACCATTAGTTCCAGATCCCAGTGGTACCCGGAATAGTTTTGGGTTAAGATCAGGGAGGTGGTTGATCTTGGAAAGTCTGAACTCCGGCGTTGGTTGCAGTTGAATCGTGGATTCCTGCTGTGGACTCCCGGGTCTTCTTGCCACCCGGCCACATCTGGAGAAAAGGAGGGAGCACACACTGAGGTGCAGTGTCATTAAGTTCTGTTTCACGGAGAAGACTTCTGACTTCCTGCAGCAGAAAGAGCACCAAAGTAGGAAGTGTTGAGTGTGTGGGAGTGCCAGCCAGCAGAGGTGCAGGGAAGGGATGGACAGCCTGGGCAGCACTCTTGGGGGGTTGTTTGAAGTGCACAAACATTGCAGAAGGCAAATAGCTTATTGGGACGGGCTCATGATTCACCAAGCATAGTGTGTCAAGACTGTAATCACCGTAATCATTACACCCATAGACACAGGGTGCCAGGCGCTGTTCTTCAGTGTCTCCTTGTTGAACCGTGTGGAACTTCGATTTGACCCTTGTGAACCGTAAAAATGGTGGTTCATTAAGGTTCAATTTATTAACTCACTGGATTCTCACAACAGCCGAAATAGGTGGATATCCCTATGTCTGTATTTTACAGGTGGTGGAACTGGGGCAAAGACAGGCTTGTGATTTGCTGGAGTAGAAAGAGGCAGAGTTAAGATTTTAATGTCCAGGTGGTCTGGTCCAAAGTCCCGGTTCTTAACTGTCTCACTGTTTTGCCTTTCTGGAAATACCTGGTTTCACAGTTATTGTGTATGTTAGAGTATATTTGATATAGCATAGCATCATAATGATCCAATTACACTTTTTTCCCCCCTTGAAATACATTTACTCTTTCTCCTTGGTTTCTTTCTCCAAGGCCTTCATTTAATTGAAAAGAAGATTAGGAATCCGAGTGTTGTTTCTCTCTCTTTGCCTCATGTTGTGTAATATTGGGCAAAGAGTAAACCTTTTTGTTTTTTGACATGCTCATTCATTATTCACCCCATCAACCATTACTGGGGATTGAACACAGAGATAAACACTTGCTAGGCAAGTGCTCTACCACTGAGCTATGATCCCAGCCCT